ATTAAAACAGTGAAATATTAAAACAGTGAAATATTAAAACAGTGAAATATTAAAATAGTGAAATATTAAAACAGTGAAATATTAAAACAGTGAAATATTAAAACAGTGAAATATTAAAATAGTGACTGACATCCTTAGACCAGAGTCACGGTCACAGCCAAAGCGTTTCATCTAAATGTAAATGTGTGTGACTTCCCCAGAGTCTACATGGGTGGAATGGTGTGTGAGCTTCTCAAACCAAACTCAGACGAACTGTGAGTGTTTCATTCGTTCACAATCATTAAATAATCACATAAATCATAAATCGTCAGAATGAGCTCTTATTGTAAACATAATCCTCAGGTATGGGCTGAAGCTCGACCATGAGAACTCATGGAACGGCCACGTGAGCTGCAGAATGACCGGAACATTCATCGGTGAGAAGTTTGTATAAAAGATGGATTTGTTTTAAAAGTCCTGAGGAGAATATTTAATGTTTATATATTTAAATACTTTGTGACAGGACACCACAACATGAGCTTCATTTTGGACGGAGGCTACGGAAGGTGAGGGTTATGAACAAGTGAACACATGCAAAATGTTTATTCTCCTTTATTATTATTATTATTATTGTTATTATTATTATTATTATTATTATTATCATTATTATCATTATTATCATTATTATCATTATTATTATTGTTATTATTATTATCATGTTCAGGATAGAGATTTTATATTTGTTGTTGATGCTAGAGTTAGAGATTGTTTTATTTTAATTAGTACAGCTATTGTTCACTTTACTTGTGCTGTGTGCTCCTCTTTCCTACTGTTCTACAACTTGTGATGCAACACTGAAATTTACCCACTGTGCAACCAATGATGGATCTCTTAATCCTAACTTTAATCTTAATCTTAATACTAATCTTAATCTTAATCTTAATCTTAATCCCAATCTGTGTGTTCCAGGAGCGTCCCGGACAGATCGGCGCTGCATGTTTCCGCCGCTAACAAGTTGGCGATGTTCCAGACGTTTGCAGGTGCAGCTGTGAGTCAGGTCCAGATGTTTGTGAACACATGAACTCAGACTGTTCTTTCTTCAGAGGTTACCGCGGTGACGCCGTCTGAAGGCAGCGTCCGAGGAGGCACCACCGTCACCATCCACGGGCGCCACCTCGCCGACGCCACCAGCCACCCCCCCAAGGTCCTGATCGGAGGTGAATGGACCAGGACCGAGGCTGTAGATCCAGGACTGAGGCTGTAGACCCAGGACTGAGGCTGTAGACCCAGGACTGAGGCTGTAGACCCAGGACTGAGGGCTGTAGACCCAGGACTGAGGGCTGTAGATCCAGGACTGAGGCTGTAGACCCAGGACTGAGGCTGTAGACCCAGGACTGAGGCTGTAGATCCAGGACTGAGGGCTGTAGACCCAGGACTGAGGGCTGTGAGACCCAGGACTGAGGCTGTAGATCCAGGACTGAGGCTGTAGACCCAGGACTGAGGCTGTAGACCCAGGACTGAGGCTGTAGACCCAGGACTGAGGCTGTAGATCCAGGACTGAGGCTGTAGACCCAGGACTGAGGCTGTAGACCCAGGACTGAGGCTGTAGACCCAGGACTGAGGCTGTAGACCCAGGACTGAGGCTGTAGATCCAGGACTGAGGCTGTAGACCCAGGACTGCAGTCAGTCTGTCTCTTGGACTCAGTTTTAGTCTCAGAATCTAACCTCTGTGTGATCTAGCCTTTGTGGAATCTGAACCCATAACTTAATAACATAGCAACGTGTCACTCTGAGCCTGTCGTTTGTCAGAGACAGTTCTGTGTTCAAACAAAGATGTCGTCACGGAGACAGTAAACAGTGACTCTACAGATTAATGATGTCACATGTCACAGGTCTCCCGTGTATTAATATTAATAATAATAATAATAATAATAACATGTTTATAGATCTCCCGTGTATTAATATTAATAATAATAATAATAACATGTTTATAGATCTCCTGTGTATTATTAATAATAATAATAATATGTTTACAGGTCTCCCGTGTCACATCGAGGACGTTGCTGACGACAGGATTCTGTGTAAAACTTCTGAATATCGACCGAATGAATTTGCAGAAAATGGAGTCGGTAAAAACCTTTTTACTTTAAAATACTACAGTAACAAATATGATAAATACTACAGTAACAAATATGATAAATACTACAGTAACAAATATAATAAATACTACAGTAACAAATATAATAAATACTACAGTAACAAATATGATAAATACTAGAGTAACAAATAATGATAAATACTACAGTAACAAATATAATAAATACTACAGTAACAAATATGATAAATACTACAGTAACAAATATGATAAATACTACAGTAACAAATATGATAAATACTAGAGTAACAAATATGATAAATACTACAGTAACAAATATAATAAATACTACAGTAACAAATATGATAAATACTACAGTAACAAATATGATAAATACTACAGTAACAAATATGATAAATACTACAGTAACAAATATGATAAATACTACAGTAACAAATATGATGAATACTACAGTAACAAATATAATAAATACTACAGTAACAAATATAATAAATACTACAGTAACAAATATGATAAATACTACAGTAACAAATATGATAAATACTACAGTAACAAATATAATAAATACTACAGTAACAAATATGATAAATACTACAGTAACAAATATGATAAATACTACAGTAACAAATATAATAAATACTACAGTAACAAATATGATAAATACTACAGTAACAAATATGATAAATACTACAGTAACAAATATAATAAATACTACAGTAACAAATATGATAAATACTACAGTAACAAATATGATAAATACTACAGTAACAAATATAATAAATACTACAGTAACAAATATGATAAATACTACAGTAACAAATATGATAAATACTACAGTAACAAATATGATAAATACTACAGTAACAAATATGATAAATACTACAGTAACAAATATGATAAATACTACAGTAACAAATATGATAAATACTACAGTAACAAATATAATAAATACTACAGTAACATGTACAAATATAATATAATAATCAGAATGTTTGAAAACCTAACTTTAAATAACCTATTATTATAACTATTTTACTCACAGAGGAAAATCTATTTAAAATAACCTTGGTCCAAAGTTATTTTGTTTACAGACTTCGATATAAAATACAGACTGAAGTTAGAGTTTACAGAGTTACAGACTGAAGTTAGAGTTTACAGAGTGTTACAGACTGAAGTTAGAGTTTACAGTGTTACAGACTGAAGTTATAGTTTACAGAGTGTTACAGACTGAAGTTAGAGTTTACAGAGTGTTACAGACTGAAGTTAGAGTTTACAGAGTTACAGACTGAAGTTAGAGTTGACAGAGTGTTACAGACTAAAGTTACAGTTTACAGTGTTACAGACTGAAGTTAGAGTTTACAGAGTGTTACAGACTGAAGTTAGAGTTTACTGTGTTACAGACTGAAGTTAGAGTTTACAGAGTGTTACAGACTGAAGTTAGAGTTTACAGAGTGTTACAGACTGAAGTTAGAGTTTACAGTGTTACAGACTGAAGTTAGAGTTTACAGAGTGTTACAGACTGAAGTTAGAGTTTACAGAGTATTACAGGCTGAAGTTAGAGTTTACAGAGTTACAGACTGAAGTTAGAGTTTACAGTGTTACAGACTGAAGTTAGAGTTTACAGTGTTACAGACTGAAGTTAGAGTTTACAGTGTTACAGACTGAAGTTAGAGTTTACAGTGTTACAGACTGAAGTTATAGTTTACAGAGTGTTACAGACTGAAGTTAGAGTTTACTGTGTTACAGACTGAAGTTAGAGTTTACAGTGTTACAGACTGAAGTTATAGTTTACAGAGTGTTACAGACTGAAGTTAGAGTTTACTGTGTTACAGACTGAAGTTAGAGTTTACAGTGTTACAGACTGAAGTTAGAGTTTACAGAGTGTTACAGACTGAAGTTAGAGTTTACAGAGTATTACAGGCTGAAGTTAGAGTTTACTGTGTTACAGACTGAAGTTAGAGTTTACTGTGTACAGACTGAAGTTAGAGTTTACAGTGTTACAGACTGAAGTTAGAGTTTACAGAGTATTACAGGCTGAAGTTAGAGTTTACAGAGTTACAGACTGAAGTTAGAGTTTACAGTGTTACAGACTGAAGTTAGAGTTTACAGTGTTACAGACTGAAGTTAGAGTTTACAGAGTGTTACAGACTGAAGTTAGAGTTTACAGAGTTACAGACTGAAGTTAGAGTTTACAGTGTTACAGACTGAAGTTAGAGTTTATTGTGTTACAGACTGAAGTTAGAGTTTACAGAGTGTTACAGACTGAAGTTAGAGTTTACAGAGTTACAGACTGAAGTTAGAGTTTACAGTGTTACAGACTGAAGTTAGAGTTTACAGTGTTACAGACTGAAGTTAGAGTTTACTGTGTTACAGACTGAAGTTAGAGTTTACAGTGTTACAGACTGAAGTTAGAGTTTACTGTGTTACAGACTGAAGTTAGAGTTTACAGAGTTACAGACTGAAGTTAGAGTTTACAGTGTTACAGACTGAAGTTAGAGTTTATAGTGTTACAGACTGAAGTTAGAGTTTACAGAGTTACAGACTGAAGTTAGAGTTTACAGTGTTACAGACTGAAGTTAGAGTTTATAGTGTTACAGACTGAAGTTAGAGTTTACAGAGTGTTACAGACTGAAGTTAGAGTTTACAGAGTTACAGACTGAAGTTAGAGTTTACAGTGTTACAGACTGAAGTTAGAGTTTACAGTGTTACAGACTGAAGTTAGAGTTTACTGTGTTACAGACTGAAGTTAGAGTTTACAGTGTTACAGACTGAAGTTAGAGTTTACTGTGTTACAGACTGAAGTTAGAGTTTACAGAGTTACAGACTGAAGTTAGAGTTTACAGTGTTACAGACTGAAGTTAGAGTTTATAGTGTTACAGACTGAAGTTAGAGTTTACAGAGTTACAGACTGAAGTTAGAGTTTACAGTGTTACAGACTGAAGTTAGAGTTTATAGTGTTACAGACTGAAGTTAGAGTTTACAGAGTGTTACAGACTGAAGTTAGAGTTTACAGAGTTACAGACTGAAGTTAGAGTTTACAGTGTTACAGACTGAAGTTAGAGTTTACAGTGTTACAGACTGAAGTTAGAGTTAGTTAGAGTTTACAGTGTTACAGACTGAAGTTAGAGTTTACAGTGTTACAGACTGAAGTTAGAGTTAGTTAGAGTTTACAGTGTTACAGACTGAAGTTAGAGTTAGTTAGAGTTTACAGTGTTACAGACTGAAGTTAGAGTTTACAGTATTACAGACTGAAGTTAGAGTTAGTTAGAGTTTACAGTGTTACAGACTGAAGTTAGAGTTTACAGTGTTACAGACTGAAGTTAGAGTTAGTTAGAGTTTACAGTGTTACAGACTGAAGTTAGAGTTAGTTAGAGTTTACAGTGTTACAGACTGAAGTTAGAGTTTACAGTGTTACAGACTGAAGTTAGAGTTAGTTAGAGTTTACAGTGTTACAGACTGAAGTTAGAGTTAGTTAGAGTTTACAGTGTTACAGACTGAAGTTAGAGTTTACAGTGTTACAGACTGAAGTTAGAGTTAGTTAGAGTTTACAGTGTTACAGACTGAAGTTAGAGTTAGTTAGAGTTTACAGTGTTACAGACTGAAGTTAGAGTTTACAGTGTTACAGACTGAAGTTAGAGTTAGTTAGAGTTTACAGTGTTACAGACTGAAGTTAGAGTTAGTTAGAGTTTACAGTGTTACAGACTGAAGTTAGAGTTTACAGTGTTACAGACTGAAGTTAGAGTTAGTTAGAGTTTACAGTGTTACAGACTGAAGTTAGAGTTTACAGTGTTACAGACTGAAGTTAGAGTTTACAGTATTACAGACTGAAGTTAGAGTTTAGATCCGTGTTTTGTAGCGTGTTGAGTATCTTTCATCAAAGCCGTCCATCTCTTGTCACTAAGAACAAAGGCTTTGAACTGAACGCCACCATCTGATAATAGGCCACGCCTCCTTCGCCGCCGTGTGGTTCAGAGGTCAGAGGTCAGAGGTCAGACTCTGACAGGAAACAAAACAAACATCATTTAACTGTTTACTTCCTGTTCCAAGCTCATGTTGGAGAAACTGTTTCAAATTAAAAACAGCTTTAAATAAAAAGATTGAACCAAAACAAGACTAAATGTAAATAAAGACAGTTCTGTCAATACTTTAAAAATCATTTTTATGTGTTTAGAATAAGTTAAATTATATGGTTCCGGAGATTTAAAATGATGTGTAACATGCCATAGTAGCCCATTACCATCAATGATACAAGTCATAATAATAATAATAATAATAATAATAATAATAATAATAATAATAATAATAATAATAATAATAATAATAATAATAATAATAATAATAGTGATACTAATGATAGTAAGGCAAGGCAAGTTTATTTATATAGCACAATTCATACACAAGGCAACTCAAAGTGCTGAACAAAACAAGAAAGCATTAAAATCATAAATAATCACAGAACATTAAAAAGAAAGATACAAATATAAAATCCCTCAGTTGTATGCACAGCTAAACAGAACTGTTTTTAACCTGGTTTTAAACATTGTCAGAGAGGAGGCCTGTCTCACATCTTCAGGAAGATTGTTCCAGATTTTAGCAGCATGAATCTGAAAAGCAGCCTCCCCATGTTTAGTTCTGACTCTGGGCACTAACAGGAGTCCAGTCCCTGTGCTCCTCAGAGTCCCAGCAGGAGGCCAGTCCCTGTGCTCCTCAGAGTCCCAGCAGGAGTCCAGTCCCTGTGCTCCTCAGAGTCCCAGCAGGAGGCCAGTCCCTGTGCTCCTCAGAGTCCCAGCAGGAGTCCAGTCCCTGTGCTCCTCAGAGTCCCAGCAGGAGGCCAGTCCCTGTGCTCCTCAGAGTCCCAGCAGGAGTCCAGTCCCTGTGCTCCTCAGAGTCCCAGCAGGAGTCCAGTCCCTGTGCTCCTCAGAGTCCCAGCAGGAGTCCAGTCCCTGTGCTCCTCAGAGTCCCAGCAGGAGGCCAGTCCCTGTGCTCCTCAGAGCCATTGCAGTAGTCTAACCTACTGGAGACAAATGCATGGATAAGAATCTCCAGGTCTGCTTTAGACACTATGTTTTTGATCCTGGCAATGTTTTTTAGATGGTAAAAAGCTGCTGATGTTACTGATTTGATGTGGCTATTAAAATTTAAGTCTGAGTCCAGTATTACCCCTAGATTTCTGACCTTGTTTGAAGGTTTTAGGGAGAGAGACTGTAGATGACAGATGACGCTCTCTCTTTGTTTCTGGACCAAAGACAATCATTTCAGTTTTGTCTGCGTTTAGCTGAAGGAAGTTGTTTTGCATCCACTCACTGATCTGTTGGATACAGTGAAGGAGTGAGTCCAATAATAATAATAATAGTGATAATAATAATAGTAATAATAATAATAATGATAATGATAATAATAATAAAAATGATAATAATAATAATAATAACCCTAATGCAGGAGGCAGAGGTCTGCAGATGCAGGTGTGGAATAAGACGCGGCCCGGCTCCCTGAAGGACATATGGTCCTATCACAGTAACACCAGTGGATACTGGCAGCAGTGGGTCGACTCCACACCATATCGGTTCCAAACCGAGACGTTCTCGACTCGGACCAGAGGGTTCCTGGTTCCTCCACACACGGGGAAGTTCATCCTGCACCTGCAGTGTGACGACCGCTGTGAGCTGTACATGAGCAACTCCAGCCAACCACAGCACATGGTAAGGTCACATGGTACACAGAGAGGAGGAGAGGGGGAGGGAGGAGAGGAGGTGAGGAGAGAGAGAGAGGAGGAGAGCGAGAGGAGAGGAGAGAGAGGAGGAGAGAGAGGAGGGGGAGCGAGGAGAGATAGAGGAGAGAGGAGAGAGAGAGGAGAGAGACAGAGGAGAGGAGGTGAGGAGAGAGAGAGAGGAGGGGGAGAGAGGAGAGAGATGAGAGGGGAGAGAAAGAGGAGGGAGAAGAGAAAGAGGAGAGAGATAGAGGAGAGAGAGGAGATGACAGTTTGTCTGTGATTCATGGATGAGTAAAGGTTATGAATAGATGAATGACATCACACATGATGTTGTGTGTGACTGGGTCGTCGAGGTCTGCCTTCGGCTGCTGCCCAGTCCTTTCTGCACCGACCACCATGGATCCCTCTGTGGGTGGTGGGCCCACAGGAGGGCCTGCCCATGTCGCCCTTTCGGGCTGAGCCCGGCCAGGCTCCGTGGGCTAAGGCCCGGCCACCAGACGCTTGCATACGAGCCCCAACCCCAGGCCTGGCTCCAGGGTGGGGCCCCGACTGTGCCATGCCGGGCGACGTCACTGTTCTTGTAATAGTGCTGTCCATGCCGGGTTTTTTCGTCTGTCTCGTCACCCGAGACCTGTCTGCCATGGGAGACCCTACCAGGGTCATGAAGCCCCAGACAACATAGTTCCCAGGATCATCCGAGTACTCCCCCACCAGGGTAAGGTAGCAGTGCAGGAGAGAGAGGTTTTGGTCCCTCCGTGGAACACTGGACCAGCTCTATATTCTCCATCGGATACTCGAGGGTTCATGAGCTTCCTCCGCAGAGTGGCTGGGCGCTCCCTTAGAGATAGGGTGAGGAGCTCAGTCACACGGGAGGAGCTCGGAGTAGAGCCGCTGCTCCTCCACGTCGAGAGGAACCAGTCGAGGTGGCTCGGGCATCTGTTCCGGATGCCTCCTGGACGCCTCCCTGGGGAGGTGTTCCGGACACGTCCCACCGGTGAAGACCCAGGACACGCTGGAGGGACTATGTCTCTCAGCTGGCCTGGGAACGCCTTGGGGTCCCCCCGGACGAGCTGGAGGAAGTGTGTGGATAGAATTCAGAATTCAGAATCATTTTTATTGCCACGTAAGTAACAGGAAGTCACAGACTTGGAAATTGCTTTGGCTCAGTGCAACAGTCAGAAAGAGATAATAAAAATAAAGAATAAAAAATACTTAAATTTACATTTAAAATAGAGTTACAGTTACTATTTACAATATATGGAAGGCTGCGGCCGATCACTTCCTCTGCAGAGCGCACAATGCACTGTAGTCTCTGTTTGTTTCTGACTGTGGCTCCAGCGAACCACACGGTGATGGAGGAGGTGATGGAGGAGGTGATGGAGGAGGGGATGGAGGAGGTGATGGAGGAGGGGATGGAGGAGGTGATGGCCGTGTAGAACTGCAGCTTGGCTTTCCTGAGCTGCCGCAGGAAGTACATCCTCTGCTGGGCCTTCTTGATGAGGAGCTGATGGTCGGCTCCCACTTGAGGTCCTGGGTGATGGTGGTGCCCAGGAAACGGAAGGACTCCACAGAGGTGATGGGGGAGTCCATCACGGAGGGTGGGGGCGGGGGGACAGTGCTCTTCCTGAAGTCCACAATCATCTCCACTGTCTTCTGGGCGTTCAGCTCCAGGTTGTTACCACTGCACCAGGACACCAGCCGGTCCACCTCCTCCTGTAGGAGACACCAGGACACCTCCCTCCTGTAAGAGACACCAGGACACCAGCCGGTCCACCTCCCTCCTGTAGGAGACACCAGGACACCAGCCGGTCCACCTCCCTCCTGTAGGAGACACCAGGACACCAGCCGGTCCACCTCCCTCCTGTAGGAGACACCAGGACACCAGCCGGTCCACCTCCCTCCTGTAGGAGACACCAGGACACCAGCCGGTCCACCTCCCTCCTGTAGGAGACACCAGGACACCAGCCGGTCCACCTCCCTCCTGTAGGAGACACCAGGACACCAGCCGGTCCACCTCCCTCCTGTAGGCGGACTCATCGTTGTTGGAGATGAGTCCAATGAGGGTGGTGTCGTCCGCGAACTTGATCAGCTTCACGGAGTCGAGGCTGGAGGTGCAGTGGTTGGTGTACAGGGAGAAGAGCAGGGGAGAAAGAACACACCCCTGTGGGGCTCCTGTATTTATAATCCGAGAGTCCGAGACATTCTTCCCCAGACGCACTCGCTGCTTCCTGTCCGTCAGGAAGTCAGTGATCCACCTGCAGGTGGAATCGGGCACGTTGAGCTGGGAGAGCTTGTCCTGGAGCAGGGATGGCAGGATTGTGTTGAAGGCAGAGCTGAAGTCCACGAACAGGACCCTGGCGTAGGTCCCCGGGGAGTCCAGGTGCTGTAGGATGTGGTGGAGGGCCAGGTTAATGGCGTCGTCTACAGATCTGTTGGCTCTGTAGGCGAACTGCAAGGGGTCCAGGAGGGGGGAGGTGAGGGACTTGAGATGGGAGAGAACCAGGCGTTCAAAAGACTTCATGACGACAGACGTCAGTGCTACAGGTCTGTAGTCGTTGGGTCCTGTGATCCTGGGCTTCTTCGGGACGGGGACAATGATGGAGGATTTGAAGCCGGGACATGGCAGGACTGCAGAGAGGTGTTGAAAATGTCCGTGAACACAGGAGTAAGCTCACTGGGGCAGTGTCTCAGAGTGGCCGGAGACACGTGGGCTTTGGGTTTGTAGTTGGTGATCTCCCGTAGGCCCCTCCAGACAGAAGCAGTATCGTTGTTACCAAACTGCTCCTGTAGTCGTTCTCTGTGCCGGGACTTGGCTGCTTTCAGTTCTTTCCTGAACTGATATTTAGCTGCTTTGTAGCCGCAGTTTGATAAACTGTCTGTATTTGGGTAATTCCTGGCTCAAGTTTCCCTTATTAAAATCCCCCAGGATAATAATCAGAGAGTCCGGGTATAAACGTTCCATACACAGTACTTGCTCTGCGTCCGCGCATGGCGGTATGTAAACAGAGGCAAGAATGAATGAAACAAACTCACGAGGGCAGTAATATGGTTTACAATGAATGAAAAGATATTCCAGAGCAGGAGAGCAGTGCTTGGAGATCACTGTCACATCGTTACACCAGTTTGTATTGACGTAGAAACACAGCCCACCGCCTCTGCTCTTCCCTGAGAGCGCACAATGGAGGACACAGAGGACACCAGGTCTCAGTGAAGCAGAGGACACAGAGGACACCAGGTCTCAGTGAAGCAGAGGACACAGAGGACACCAGGTCTCAGTGAAGCAGAGGACACAGAGGACACCAGGTCTCAGTGAAGCAGAGGACACAGAGGACACCAGGTCTCAGTGAAGCAGAGGACACAGAGGACACCAGGTCTCAGTGAAGCAGAGGACACAGAGGACACCAGGTCTCAGTGAAGCAGAGGACACAGAGGACACCAGGTCTCAGTGAAGCAGAGGACACAGAGGACACCAGGTCTCAGTGAAGCAGAGGACACAGAGGACACCAGGTCTCAGTGAAGCAGAGGACACAGGATGAAGTCCTTGTTTCTTCTCATGAGCAGGCTGAGTTCGTCTTATTGCCCAGTGAGCGTACGTTGGAGAGAAAAATGCCGGGGAGAGGCTCCTCTCCTCCTCAGACGCACGAGCAGCCTCCACGCTTTCCCCTTTTACGGACCCACACTTTTTTGGCTAGAACATGGACTAAATCAGCCGCAGATGCCAAGAAAACAGGCAATAGGTCCATGGGAACGGTGGGTCGGATGTTCATAAGTTCCTCACGGGTGTAGGAACAGCCAGATGCACAGGTAAAAAGTAAAAACAAAAGAAAAGCAGAGCAGCAAAGAGCCGTGTCGACCGTACGAGGCGCCATCTTTGTATATCATAGGAAAGGGAAGTCTGGGCGTCTCTGCTTAGACTGCTGCCCCCGCGACCCGGCAACGGATGAAGTGGAAGAAAATGGATGGATGGATGGATGGAATAACATCACTTTATTTGTTGCAGGAGAAAATTGCGTATCAGCCGAAATATTCAGAGGCTTACAGAATGACTTCACAGAGATCCACAGATCTGTTTCTGGAAGAGGGAAAACCGTGAGTTCTAATACTCAATAAACACAGCACTTTATATTTATTATTATTATTATTATTATTATTGTTATCATTATTATTATAATTATTGTTTTTTTATATTTATTCTTGTTATTCTGACTTCCTGATTTCCTCAGGTACTACATTGAAATGCTGCAGCAGGATTATGGAGGCGCCGCAGGCCTCACTCTGGCCATGTTCACCAATAAAAGCTCGTACACTAACACCCAGACGGCACACGCCAAACAGGAAGTCCAGACCATTGTGGCCCAGTACCAGGTCCAAGACGAGACTCAGGTCCGTGGGTCAGGACCGGTCCCCACAAAGACTGCATCTTCTCTAAGATCCTATTATCATTATTATCCTCCTGTCTCTTTTATCCTGTTAAAATATACGTGACTTTTACTGCTGCACTCAGCCACACTCACTATATCTCCCATTTTCAGTCACGGTTTCATCCAGACCTGGTCCAGACCTGGTCCAGACCTGGTCCAGACCTGGTCCAGACCTGGTCCAGACCTGGTCCAGACCTGGTCCAGACCTGGTCCAGACCTGGTCCAGAGGTTAAGCAGCTCCGGCAGCAAAACACAAATGGTTTTAAGGGAAAATTATGTATCATGTCTAAACCTGAACTCGTCTAAACTGAAATTATTAACAAAACCTTGTAATTTAAATGAATTCAAAATAGAAATACTTATTTTTCTATTATACCATTATACATCTGCCTATTTATGAATAAATCTCCAATCCAGTGTCTGTCAAAAACCTTTTCTAAATCCATGGTTGTATTTTGTTTTAGGAAATCAGGTTTTCATCTTGGAGCAGTAGAGCGTCTGTCCAAGAGGTGCAGAGGGTCTCTCTCAGTGGAGAAACCTACCTGTTCTTCAGCCTGGGCTACGGACCTGCGCAGACCGGTACGGGCTGGAAATACACTGTTGTGACTGTTGTGACTGTTGTGATTGTGTTTCATGTCTCTCTCTCTCCATCCTCAGCTCCTCTCTCTGTGGGGGCCTCGGCGTCTCTAGTGAAGGCGGCGCTCAACGATCTGTGGTCGATTAAACCCGATAAAGTGGACGTGTCTAAAAGCGAAGACGACGAAGGGACACACTTCACTGTGACTTTCATCTCTGACCGCGGTAACTACTCTTCACTCTTCTGCTCATGTCTGTTTCTCTGACCGCGGTAACTACTCTTCACTCTCCTGCTCATGTCTGTTTCTCTGACCGCGGTAACTACTCTTCACTCTCCTGCTCATGTCTGATTCTCTGACCGCGGTAACTACTCTTCACTCTCCTGCTCATGTCTGTTTCTCTGACCGCGGTAACTACTCTTCACTCTCCTGCTCATGTCTGATTCTCTGACCGCGGTAACTACTCTTCACTCTCCTGCTCATGTCTGTTTCTCTGACCGCGGTAACTACTCCTCACTCTCCTGCTCATGTCTGTTTCTCTGACCGCGGTAACTACTCCTCACTCTCCTGCTCATGTCTGTTTCTCTGACCGCGGTAACTACTCCTCACTCTCCTGCTCATGTCTGTTTCTCTGACCGCGGTAACTACTCTTCACTCTCCTGCTCATGTCTGTTTCTCTGACCGCAGTAACTACTCTTCACTCTCCTGCTCATGTCTGTTTCTCTGACTGCTGTAACTACTCTTCACTCTCCTGCTCATGTCTGTTTCTCTGACCGCTGTAACTACTCCTCACTCTCCTGCTCATGTCTGTTTCTCTGACTGCGGTAACTACTCTTCACTCTCCTGCTCATGTCTGTTTCTCTGACCGCGGTAACTACTCTTCACTCTCCTGCTCATGTCTGTTTCTCTGACCGCGGTAACTTCTCCTCACTCTCCTGCTCATGTCTGTTTCTCTGACCGCGGTAACTACTCTTCACTCTCCTGCTCATGTCTGTTTCTCTGACCGCGGTAACTACTCCTCACTCTCTTGCTCATGTCTGTTTCTCTGACTGCTGTAACTACTCTTCACTCTCCTGCTCATGTCTGTTTCTCTGACCGCGGTAACTTCTCCTCACTCTCCTGCTCATGTCTGTTTCTCTGACCGCGGTAACTACTCCTCACTCTCCTGCTCATGTCTGTTTCTCTGACCGCGGTAACTACTCCTCACTCTCTTGCTCATGTCTGTTTCTCTGACCGCTGTAACTACTCTTCACTCTCCTGCTCATGTCTGTTTCTCTGACCGCTGTAACTACTCCTCACTCTCCTGCTCATGTCTGTTTCTCTGACTGCGGTAACTACTCTTCACTCTCCTGCTCATGTCTGTTTCTCTGACCGCGGTAACTACTCCTCACTCTCTTGCTCATGTCTGTTTCTCTGACCGCGGTAACTACTCTTCACTCTCCTGCTCATGTCTGTTTCTCTGACCGCGGTAACTACTCCTCACTCTCCTGCTCATGTCTGTTTCTCTGACCGCTGTAACTACTCTTCACTCTCCTGCTCATGTCTGTTTCTCTGACCGCGGTAACTTCTCCTCACTCTCCTGCTCATGTCTGTTTCTCTGACCGCTGTAACTACTCTTCACTCTCCTGCTCATGTCTGTTTCTCTGACCGCGGTAACTTCTCCTCACTCTCCTGCTCATGTCTGTTTCTCTGACCGCGGTAACTACTCTTCACTCTCCTGCTCATGTCTGTTTCTCTGACTGCTGTAACTACTCCTCACTCTCCTGCTCATGTCTGTTTCTCTGACTGCTGTAACTACTCTTCACTCTCCTGCTCATGTCTGTTTCTCTGACCGCAGTAACTACTCCTCACTCTCCTGCTCATGTCTGTTTCTCTGACCGCAGTAACTACTCCTCACTCTCCTGCTCATGTCTGTTTCTCTGACCGCAGTAACTACTCTTCACTCTCCTGCTCATGTCTGTTTCTCTGACTGCTGTAACTGCTCTTCACTCTCCTGCTCATGTCTGTTTCTCTGACCGCGGTAACTACTCTTCACTCTCCTGCTCATGTCTGTTTCTCTGACCGCTGTAACTACTCCTCACTCTCCTGCTCATGTCTGTTTCTCTGACCGCGGTAACTACTCTTCACTCTCCTGCTCATGTCTGTTTCTCTGACCGCTGTAACTACTCCTCACTCTCCTGCTCATGTCTGTTTCTCTGACCGCGGTAACTACTCTTCACTCTCCTGCTCATGTCTGTTTCTCTGACCGCTGTAACTACTCTTCACTCTCCTGCTCATGTCTGTTTCTCTGACCGCGGTAACTACTCTTCACTCTCCTGCTCATGTCTGTTTCTCTGACCGCAGTAACTACTCTTCACTCTCCTGCTCATGTCTGTTTCTCTGACCGCAGTAACTACTCCTCACTCTCCTGCTCATGTCTGTTTCTCTGACCGCGGTAACTACTCCTCACTCTCCTGCTCATGTCTGTTTCTCTGACCGCAGTAACTACTCTTCACTCTCCTGCTCATGTCTGTTTCTCTGACCGCGGTAACTACTCTTCACTCTCCTGCTCATGTCTGTTTCTCTGACCGCGGTAACTACTCTTCACTCTCCTGCTCATGTCTGTTTCTCTGACCGCAGTAACTACTCTTCACTCTCCTGCTCATGTCTGTTTCTCTGACTGCTGTAACTACTCCTCACTCTCCTGCTCATGTCTGTTTCTCTGACCGCGGTAACTACTCTTCACTCTCCTGCTCATGTCTGTTTCTCTGACCGCTGTAACTACTCCTCACTCTCCTGCTCATGTCTGTTTCTCTGACTGCGGTAACTACTCCTCACTCTCCTGCTCATGTCTGTTTCTCTGACCGCGGTAACTACTCCTCACTCTCTTGCTCATGTCTGTTTCTCTGACTGCTGTAACTACTCTTCACTCTCCTGCTCATGTCTGTTTCTCTGACCGCGGTAACTACTCTTCACTCTCCTGCTCATGTCTGTTTTTCTGACCGCTGTAACTACTCCTCACTCTCCTGCTCATGTCTGTTTCTCTGACCGCGGTAACTACTCCTCACTCTCTTGCTCATGTCTGTTTCTCTGACCGCTGTAACTACTCTTCACTCTCCTGCTCATGTCTGTTTCTCTGACCGCTGTAACTACTCCTCACTCTCCTGCTCATGTCTGTTTCTCTGACCGCGGTAACTACTCTTCACTCTCCTGCTCATGTCTGTTTCTCTGACCGCTGTAACTACTCTTCACTCTCCTGCTCATGTCTGTTTCTCTGACCGCAGTAACTACTCTTCACTCTCCTGCTCATGTCTGTTTCTCTGACCGCTGTAACTACTCTTCACTCTCCTGCTCATGTCTGTTTCTCTGACCGCGGTAACTACTCTTCACTCTCCTGCTCATGTCTGTTTCTCTGACCGCAGTAACTACTCCTCACTCTCCTGCTCATGTCTGTTTCTCTGACCGCAGTAACTACTCCTCACTCTCCTGCTCATGTCTGTTTCTCTGACCGCGGTAACTTCTCCTCACTCTCCTGCTCATGTCTGTTTCTCTGACCGCGGTAACTGCTCCTCACTCTCCTGCTCATGTCTGTTTCTCTGACCGCGGTAACTGCTCCTCACTCTCCTGCTCATGTCTGTTTCTCTGACTGCGGTAACTACTCTTCACTCTCCTGCTCATGTCTGTTTCTCTGACCGCGGTAACTTCTCCTCACTCTCCTGCTCATGTCTGTTTCTCTGACTGCGGTAACTACTCTTCACTCTCCTGCTCATGTCTGTTTCTCTGACCGCAGTAACTACTCCTCACTCTCCTGCTCATGTCTGTTTCTCTGACCGCTGTAACTACTCTTCACTCTCCTGCTCATGTCTGTTTCTCTGACCGCGGTAACTACTCTTCACTCTCCTGCTCATGTCTGTTTCTCTGACCGCTGTAACTACTCCTCACTCTCCTGCTCATGTCTGTTTCTCTGACCGCGGTAACTACTCCTCACTCTCCTGCTCATGTCTGTTTCTCTGACCGCAGTAACTACTCCTCACTCTCCTGCTCATGTCTGTTTCTCTGACCGCGGTAACTACTCTTCACTCTCCTGCTCATGTCTGTTTCTCTGACCGCGGTAACTACTCCTCACTCTCCTGCTCATGTCTGTTTCTCTGACCGCGGTAACTACTCTTCACTCTCCTGCTCATGTCTGTTTCTCTGACCGCAGTAACTACTCTTCACTCTCCTGCTCATGTCTGTTTCTCTGACCGCAGTAACTACTCCTCACTCTCCTGCTCATGTCTGTTTCTCTGACCGCGGTAACTACTCCTCACTCTCCTGCTCATGTCTGTTTCTCTGACCGCAGTAACTACTCTTCACTCTCCTGCTCATGTCTGTTTCTCTGACCGCGGTAACTACTCTTCACTCTCCTGCTCATGTCTGTTTCTCTGACCGCTGTAACTACTCTTCACTCTCCTGCTCATGTCTGTTTCTCTGACCGCGGTAACTACTCTTCACTCTCCTGCTCATGTCTGTTTCTCTGACCGCAGTAACTACTCTTCACTCTCCTGCTCATGTCTGTTTCTCTGACTGCTGTAACTACTCCTCACTCTCCTGCTCATGTCTGTTTCTCTGACCGCGGTAACTACTCTTCACTCTCCTGCTCATGTCTGTTTCTCTGACCGCTGTAACTACTCCTCACTCTCCTGCTCATGTCTGTTTCTCTGACTGCGGTAACTACTCCTCACTCTCCTGCTCATGTCTGTTTCTCTGACCGCGGTAACTACTCTTCACTCTCCTGCTCATGTCTGTTTTTCTGACCGCTGTAACTACTCCTCACTCTCCTGCTCATGTCTGTTTCTCTGACCGCGGTAACTACTCCTCACTCTCTTGCTCATGTCTGTTTCTCTGACTGCTGTAACTACTCTTCACTCTCCTGCTCATGTCTGTTTCTCTGACCGCTGTAACTACTCCTCACTCTCCTGCTCATGTCTGTTTCTCTGACCGCGGTAACTACTCTTCACTCTCCTGCTCATGTCTGTTTCTCTGACTGCTGTAACTACTCTTCACTCTCCTGCTCATGTCTGTTTCTCTGACCGCAGTAACTACTCTTCACTCTCCTGCTCATGTCTGTTTCTCTGACCGCTGTAACTACTCTTCACTCTCCTGCTCATGTCTGTTTCTCTGACCGCGGTAACTACTCTTCACTCTCCTGCTCATGTCTGTTTCTCTGACCGCAGTAACTACTCCTCACTCTCCTGCTCATGTCTGTTTCTCTGACCGCAGTAACTACTCCTCACTCTCCTGCTCATGTCTGTTTCTCTGACCGCGGTAACTTCTCCTCACTCTCCTGCTCATGTCTGTTTCTCTGACCGCGGTAACTGCTCCTCACTCTCCTGCTCATGTCTGTTTCTCTGACCGCGGTAACTGCTCCTCACTCTCCTGCTCATGTCTGTTTCTCTGACTGCGGTAACTACTCTTCACTCTCCTGCTCATGTCTGTTTCTCTGACCGCGGTAACTTCTCCTCACTCTCCTGCTCATGTCTGTTTCTCTGACTGCGGTAACTACTCTTCACTCTCCTGCTCATGTCTGTTTCTCTGACCGCAGTAACTACTCCTCACTCTCCTGCTCATGTCTGTTTCTCTGACCGCTGTAACTACTCCTCACTCTCCTGCTCATGTCTGTTTCTCTGACCGCGGTAACTACTCTTCACTCTCCTGCTCATGTCTGTTTCTCTGACCGCTGTAACTACTCCTCACTCTCCTGCTCATGTCTGTTTCTCTGACCGCGGTAACTACTCCTCACTCTCCTGCTCATGTCTGTTTCTCTGACCGCGGTAACTGCTCCTCACTCTCCTGCTCATGTCTGTTTCTCTGACCGCTGTAACTACTCCTCACTCTCCTGCTCATGTCTGTTTCTCTGACCGCGGTAACTACTCCTCACTCTCCTGCTCATGTCTGTTTCTCTGACCGCAGTAACTACTCCTCACTCTCCTGCTCATGTCTGTTTCTCTGACCGCGGTAACTACTCTTCACTCTCCTGCTCATGTCTGTTTCTCTGACCGCGGTAACTACTCCTCACTCTCCTGCTCATGTCTGTTTCTCTGACCGCTGTAACTTCTCCTCACTCTCCTGCTCATGTCTGTTTCTCTGACCGCAGTAACTACTCTTCACTCTCCTGCTCATGTCTGTTTCTCTGACCGCTGTAACTTCTCCTCACTCTCCTGCTCATGTCTGTTTCTCTGACCGCGGTAACTGCTCCTCACTCTCCTGCTCATGTCTGTTTCTCTGACTGCGGTAACTACTCTTCACTCTCCTGCTCATGTCTGTTTCTCTGACCGCGGTAACTTCTCCTCACTCTCCTGCTCATGTCTGTTTCTCTGACTGCGGTAACTACTCTTCACTCTCCTGCTCATGTCTGTTTCTCTGACCGCAGTAACTACTCCTCACTCTCCTGCTCATGTCTGTTTCTCTGACCGCTGTAACTACTCTTCACTCTCCTGCTCATGTCTGTTTCTCTGACCGCGGTAACTACTCTTCACTCTCCTGCTCATGTCTGTTTCTCTGACCGCTGTAACTACTCCTCACTCTCCTGCTCATGTCTGTTTCTCTGACCGCGGTAACTACTCCTCACTCTCCTGCTCATGTCTGTTTCTCTGACCGCAGTAACTACTCCTCACTCTCCTGCTCATGTCTGTTTCTCTGACCGCGGTAACTACTCTTCACTCTCCTGCTCATGTCTGTTTCTCTGACCGCGGTAACTACTCCTCACTCTCCTGCTCATGTCTGTTTCTCTGACCGCGGTAACTACTCTTCACTCTCCTGCTCATGTCTGTTTCTCTGACCGCAGTAACTACTCTTCACTCTCCTGCTCATGTCTGTTTCTCTGACCGCGGTAACTACTCCTCACCTCTCCTGCTCATGTCTGTTTCTCTGACCGCAGTAACTACTCTTCACTCTCCTGCTCATGTCTGTTTCTCTGACCGCGGTAACTACTCTTCACTCTCCTGCTCATGTCTGTTTCTCTGACCGCTGTAACTACTCTTCACTCTCCTGCTCATGTCTGTTTCTCTGACCGCGGTAACTACTCTTCACTCTCCTGCTCATGTCTGTTTCTCTGACCGCAGTAACTACTCTTCACTCTCCTGCTCATGTCTGTTTCTCTGACTGCTGTAACTACTCCTCACTCTCCTGCTCATGTCTGTTTCTCTGACCGCGGTAACTACTCTTCACTCTCCTGCTCATGTCTGTTTCTCTGACCGCTGTAACTACTCCTCACTCTCCTGCTCATGTCTGTTTCTCTGACTGCGGTAACTACTCCTCACTCTCCTGCTCATGTCTGTTTCTCTGACCGCGGTAACTACTCTTCACTCTCCTGCTCATGTCTGTTTTTCTGACCGCTGTAACTACTCCTCACTCTCCTGCTCATGTCTGTTTCTCTGACCGCGGTAACTACTCCTCACTCTCTTGCTCATGTCTGTTTCTCTGACTGCTGTAACTACTCTTCACTCTCCTGCTCATGTCTGTTTCTCTGACCGCTGTAACTACTCCTCACTCTCCTGCTCATGTCTGTTTCTCTGACCGCGGTAACTACTCTTCACTCTCCTGCTCATGTCTGTTTCTCTGACCGCTGTAACTACTCTTCACTCTCCTGCTCATGTCTGTTTCTCTGACCGCAGTAACTACTCTTCACTCTCCTGCTCATGTCTGTTTCTCTGACCGCTGTAACTACTCTTCACTCTCCTGCTCATGTCTGTTTCTCTGACCGCGGTAACTACTCTTCACTCTCCTGCTCATGTCTGTTTCTCTGACCGCAGTAACTACTCCTCACTCTCCTGCTCATGTCTGTTTCTCTGACCGCAGTAACTACTCCTCACTCTCCTGCTCATGTCTGTTTCTCTGACCGCGGTAACTTCTCCTCACTCTCCTGCTCATGTCTGTTTCTCTGACCGCGGTAACTGCTCCTCACTCTCCTGCTCATGTCTGTTTCTCTGACCGCGGTAACTGCTCCTCACTCTCCTGCTCATGTCTGTTTCTCTGACTGCGGTAACTACTCTTCACTCTCCTGCTCATGTCTGTTTCTCTGACCGCGGTAACTTCTCCTCACTCTCCTGCTCATGTCTGTTTCTCTGACCGCGGTAACTACTCCTCACTCTCTTGCTCATGTCTGTTTCTCTGACCGCGGTAACTACTCTTCACTCTCCTGCTCATGTCTGTTTCTCTGACCGCTGTAACTACTCCTCACTCTCCTGCTCATGTCTGTTTCTCTGACCGCGGTAACTACTCTTCACTCTCCTGCTCATGTCTGTTTCTCTGACCGCTGTAACTACTCCTCACTCTCCTGCTCATGTCTGTTTCTCTGACCGCGGTAACTACTCCTCACTCTCCTGCTCATGTCTGTTTCTCTGACCGCGGTAACTGCTCCTCACTCTCCTGCTCATGTCTGTTTCTCTGACCGCTGTAACTACTCCTCACTCTCCTGCTCATGTCTGTTTCTCTGACCGCGGTAACTACTCCTCACTCTCCTGCTCATGTCTGTTTCTCTGACCGCAGTAACTACTCCTCACTCTCCTGCTCATGTCTGTTTCTCTGACCGCGGTAACTACTCTTCACTCTCCTGCTCATGTCTGTTTCTCTGACCGCGGTAACTACTCCTCACTCTCCTGCTCATGTCTGTTTCTCTGACCGCTGTAACTTCTCCTCACTCTCCTGCTCATGTCTGTTTCTCTGACCGCAGTAACTACTCTTCACTCTCCTGCTCATGTCTGTTTCTCTGACCGCTGTAACTTCTCCTCACTCTCCTGCTCATGTCTGTTTCTCTGACCGCGGTAACTACTCTTCACTCTCCTGCTCATGTCTGTTTCTCTGACCGCGGTAACTACTCCTCACTCTCTTGCTCATGTCTGTTTCTCTGACCGCGGTAACTACTCCTCACTCTCCTGCTCATGTCTGTTTCTCTGACCGCTGTAACTTCTCCTCACTCTCCTGCTCATGTCTGTTTCTCTGACCGCTGTAACTACTCTTCACTCTCCTGCTCATGTCTGTTTCTCTGACCGCTGTAACTACTCTTCACTCTCCTGCTCATGTCTGTTTCTCTGACCGCGGTAACTACTCCTCACTCTCCTGCTCATGTCTGTTTCTCTGACCGCGGTAACTACTCTTCACTCTCCTGCTCATGTCTGTTTCTCTGACCGCTGTAACTACTCTTCACTCTACTGCTCATGTCTGTTTCTGCCTCTCTAATGTCTCTGGGTCCACAGGTGACTTTGCTCCTCTGACCTTCAACACCTTTGGGTCTGACCTGAACATCAGTGTGGGGGAGGTGACCAAAGGAGAGAGCGACAGGAAGACTTTCACTCTCTCCTTGGAGGGAGTCTGCACCGAACCCATCGCCTACAACGCCACAGAGGAAGAGGTAAAGGAGAGGTTGGGTTCTGTGCTCATGAAGACACTGTTACACACACTAATAACACTAAACACTGATGGATAGAGATTGGCCTTTGAGCCTGAAGGTTATGGGTTCGAGCCCACCACGAGATCTTCTCCACCAACTCTGCTGTCGTTGTGTCGTTGGGCAAGACACTTAACCCCCTTTGCCTTTAAGCAGCACAGAAGTAATGTTTGCTGCCTGCCTTGATGTTTATCTGTGTATTCATCAAACTGAAATTTCCCGTATTTACATGCCACGTACACGTATTTACATGCCACTTGGAACTGTCCCCCGGTACAAGCACTCTGGATTGCAATAACAGATAAACTCTCCTCCATATTGAGTTGCAGAATCCCTTTAAATCCATTACTGTGTCTTCTAGGAGATATCACACAAATAGACCTACCACATGAATATCATTCTCCTCTCCTCATCTCTCTTACTCTCGCTAAGAAGGTTATATACCAAAACTGGAAAAACAAAAACACTTGCAATATCAACCACTGGACCAACATACTCAGAGACCATATTTTATTTGAAAAACAAACAGCAGAGAAGCAGAAGCATATGGCGGCCTTCACTAAATCATGGACTCTATTCATAAATAACCTCGGACCACTGCACCTCAAGACACAGAAAACACCTTCCTAGAATTATTGCTTACACTAATAGCAATGTATTGTATTGTTGTTGTTATTATTATGATTATTATTATTATTTACATATGTGTGCGTGTGTGCGCGTGCGCGTGTGTGTGGGTGTGTACGGGTTATAGACATTGACACGGTAATATCATGACACTGCCCGTCTGTGCCAGCCCGGTGCGCGGATAAAGGCTGACATCTACCAGTGTCCTGCGCTCCGCTGTCCTCCGGGGGCCCCGCAGGAGGGGAGGTTACCATGCCCAGGCTCTTTTTTTTTAATGCATCACATAGATTTAGACTGATTTAGGGGGAGAAGAAGGAAAAATAAATAAATTAAAATAAAATAAAAATTATAAAATAAAAATGTATAATAATAATAAAATAAAAATAAAAATGAATGAATAAATAGATAAATATAATAATAACATGAATAATATGTGCATATGTGCATATAATGATAATACACAAGTCAGGGTAAGCGAAAGCTTATTTTAATGCATGACACGTTTAGTTAAGAAAAACACTTGGGAAAAAGGAACAAAATAAGAGAGGGCATGGGCCGGGCGTGGGCTCCCTCCCCCCCTTTTTGGGGTGGGGGCCTGCTTGGGGGTCTGTGTGTGTGTCGGATTTGGTTTTGTTGTTGGCTGGGTTCCGCTTAGCTTGGTGAAACTCAGGCGGGCAGACTTTATATCTTATCTTATCTGTGGGGTGTATGTGTGTGTGTGTGGAGTGTGTGTGTTTATGGGTGTGGGGTGTATGTGTGTGTATGTGTATGTGTGTGTGGAGTGTGTATGTGTATGTGTGTGTGGAGTGTGTGTGTGTGTGTGTGGAGTGTGTGTGTTTATGGGTGTGGGTGTGTGTGTGTATGTGTGTGTGTGTGTGGAGTGTGTGTGTGTATGTGTGGGTATAGACCATAGACTGTAAACATCATAGTATAGTTCCCCCCCCCCCCCCCCCCCCCCCCCCCTCCTATGTGCCCTTCTGGGTTTCTTCTTTGGCCCCCTGTATCTCCTACATATTGTTTGTAATCTCTGTCTACAATGTATCTGAACTAGTCCTTTTCTTTGTTTCTATTTTTTTTTTTCTGTATATGTGTTTGCAATAAAATATAATAAAAAAAAAAAAGAAAAAAAAAAAAAAAACTGAAATTTCCCCACTGAGGGACTAATAAAGGACCTTCTTCTTCATCTTCTTCTCATGCTGAGTTTTAGCTTTTACTCAGACAAAGGATAAACATTCAATCTTTTGTCAATAATCAGACCCCTTTGGTAATAAATCTGAATGAATCTAGTTTTGCATCATGATGCCATCCCGACAAAAAACCCTCTGATTTACATTTCTTTCATTGGTATCAGTTTATGTCTGATATTATTATGATCTATTACTGAAATCTGAAGTATCAGTATTTGAAACTCCTGTGTCTTTACCGCTCTCTACCTCAGCTCTCCCAAAACGACATCTGTCTAAGTTTGCAGAGGTCCAGGAAGCTCAGGGCTCATCATTCTTGTGTGAACAGGTGCAGGCGGCGCTGCAGGAGATGCTGACGGCTCAGTGTCCGACTGACATCGCTCCGTTTGAAGATTCCAACGTGAAGTATTTTCAAGACTTTGAAGATGAAGACAACTCTCAAGTGCGTCCACAGCTGTGGTTAATATATGCAGTTTATTTGCAGTAATTCTACATAGGAAAACTCCTGTCTCTCCTCTCACAGTTTGAAGGAACACCGGTGAAGAACGTGGCTTTCTGTGGTTCATGGTCCATGAAGAACTCCAAAACTATTTTCAAATCTTCTTACACTAAATCGTCTGGGGATCAATACGGCCCTGTGTTACTGGACTCATTCCCCTCGGTAAAAACTATTGTATTCAATGTTTGAGTTGACTTTATTCCAATGCCTGTAACTTGTACTTCCAGCTGTGTTTCGCCTACAAAGGGGCGCTGAATGATGATGTCACAGTCGTGTTCATTTACACCAGAGCAGAGGGAGGCACCAACTCAAGAACAGCCACCATCGCTAAAACCTTTGAGGACGCTCCGGAGTCAGTACCATTTTATATTCAGTCAATATTCATGTTTGTGCACCAAGTACACTATAGACATTTAGTAAAATGTAAAACAGTAAAACTCAAGCCAAGGCACAAATGTGTTTAGACTATTTGTAATAGTCTAAACACATTTGTGCCTTGACTATTTGTAATAAACCTCCTGTGAAGGAGGTTTATTAAGGTTTTCTCCAGGTGCTCCGGTTTCCCATAGCACCTCTCTGTGTGGAGTGAGAGACAAACGCCCACAAGTGTAAAGCTTTGATCTGATTCTTGTCTTGTTTCCGTGTCTGTATTTGCAGATGGAGATACACGTGCATGGACCTGCTCACTCCACTGCAAGGAGAGTACGCAGGACGACAATACACTCTGAACAAACTCACTCTGAACTCTAACTCCGACTTCTTCATCGATGTTGTTCGCTTTGCAAAGTCTCCGAGCGCATACGACTTCAACGGTAAAACTCCAACAAATCCGTGTCTGATCAAATGAACACAAATGTGACATTAACCTTTCTTTTAGCCGTTCTGTTGAAGAGGAAGCCGCCGCCCTTCGAGAGCTCTGGACGATCCTTTGAGTCGGTCTCCGTCACCAAAGACAATGAAACTATGACGTACCACATCGTTCTCAGGCCTGAAGACTGCGCCTCTGGATTCCCCATGATCAAGGTGGACTTCATGGAGGTGAGAGATTTACGTATCTGCCCTTTATGTATCCACAAAGACTTAGATACATGTTAGTCTGTCTGTCTGTGTGTCTGTGTGTCTGTCTGTCTGTCTGTCTATCTGTCTGTCTGTCTGTCTGTCTGTCTGTCAGTCCGTCTGTCGATGTATATGTCAGTCTGCCTGTCTGTCTGTGTGTCTGTCTGTCTGTCTGTCTGTCTGTCTGTCTGTGTGTCTGTCTGTCTGTCGATGTATATGTCAGTCTGTCTATCTGTCTGTGTTTCTGTCGATGTATATGTCAGTCTGTCTGTCGGTCTGTGTGTCTGTCTATCTCTCTGTGTGTCTGTCTGTCTGTGTGTCTGTCGATGTATATGTCAGTCTGTCTGTCGGTCTGTGTGTCTGTCTATCTCTCTGTGTGTCTGTCTGTCTGTGTGTCTGTCGATGTATATGTCAGTCTGTCTGTCTGTCTGTGTGTCTGTCTATCTCTCTGTCTGTCTGTCTGTCTGTCTGTCTGTCTGTCGATGTATATGTCAGTCTGTCTGTCTGTCTGTGTGTCTGTCTGTGTGTCTGTCTGTCTGTGTGTCTGTCTGTCTGTCTGTGTGTCTGTCTGTCTGTCGATGTATATGTCAGTCTGTCTGTCTGTGTCTGTCTGTCTGTGTGTGTGTCTATCTATCTGTCTGTGTGTCTGTCTATCTGTCTGTGTGTCTGTCTGTCTGTCTGTGTGTCTGTCTATCTGTCTGTCTGTCTGTGTGTCTGTCTGTCTGTCTGTGTGTCTGTCTATCTGTCTGTCTGTCTGTGTGTCTGTCTATCTGTCTGTCTGTCTGTGTGTCTGTCTATCTGTCTGTGTGTCTGTCTATCTGTCTGTCTGTCTGTGTGTCTGTCTATCTGTCTGTCTGTCTGTGTGTCTGTCTATCTGTCTGTCTGTCTGTGTGTCTGTCTATCTGTCTGTCTGTCTGTGTGTCTGTCTATCTGTGTGTCTGTCTGTGTTTCTGTCTGTATGTCTGTGTTTCTGTCTGTCTGTCTGCCTGTCTGTCTGTCTATCTGCCTGTCTGTGTGTCTGTGTCTGTCTGTCTGTCGGTTCATATCGTTCATTATATCTGTTACCTGTGCTCACAGATTGTAAACCGCGGTGAGGACCAGGTGGAGTTTGGTGAAACAGGAGAGAACTGCACCGTGTCTCGCCGCCTCAGGGCCACGCCGCCGCTCCACGGTACCTTTGACCTGGAGATTTACGGAGAACGCATCGAAGGTAATTTATTCATTTATTCAGATTATAATCATTTTATTTCTCTCTTTTGAGTAACTCTCCATTCAAGATGCCTTTACTTTGAAAATACTCCCTTTGATTCTCCTTCTCAATACATGTTAATAAAACATGTTAATAATACATGTTAATAATACATGTTAATAATACATGTTAATAATACATGTTAATAAAACATGTTAATAATACATGTTAATAAAACATGTTAATAATACATGTTAATAATACATGTTAATAAAACATGTTAATAATACATGTTAATAAAACATGTTAATAAAACATGTTAATAATACATGTTAACTAGAAACCGTTGCAATGGCTGAAGCCATTGCGATTGACTGCGGAACAGATCTAATGTGGAATTTAGCTGAAAAATCCTTGAAATCCTTGAAACTGTTAAAATACTTTAAACATCTTTGAAACTCCTGAAGTATTTGAAGCTCCTGATATCCTTTAAACTGTTATCCTTTATACTGGTTTTCATGTAAAAACCCCTATTAAGTTCCATTATACTGGTTTACATGTAAAAACCCCTATTAAGTTGCATTATACTGGTTTACATGTAAAAAACCCTATTAAGTTGCATTATACTGGTTTACATGGAAAAATCCCTATTAAGTTGCATTATACTGGTTTACATGTAAAAAACCCTATTAAGTTGCATTATACTGGTTTACATGGAAAAATCCCTATTAAGTTGCATTATACTGGTTTACATGTAAAAATCCCTATTAAGTTGCATTATACTGGTTTACATGTAAAAACCCCTATTAAGTTCCATTATACTGGTTTACATGTAAAAACCCCTATTAAGTTGCATAATACTGGTTTACATGGAAAAATCCCCATTAAGTTGCATTATACTGGTTTACATGGAAAAATCCCTATTAAGTTGCATTATACTGGTTTACATGGAAAAATCCCTATTAAGTTGCATAATACTGGTTTACATGGAAAAATCCCCATTAAGTTGCATTATACTGGTTTACATGGAAAAATCCCCATTAAGTTGCATTATACTGGTTTACATGGAAAAATCCCTATTAAGTTGCATTGTACTGGTTTACATGGAAAAAACCCTATTAAGTTGCATTATACTGGTTTACATGGAAAAAACCCTATTAAGTTGCATTATACTGGTTTACATGTAAAAACCCCTATTAAGTTGCATTATACTGGTTTACATGGAAAAATCCCCTATTAAGTTGCATTATACTGGTTTACATGAAAAAACCCTATTAAGTTGCATTATACTGGTTTACATGGAAAAATCCCTATTAAGTTGCATTATACTGGTTTACATGGAAAAATCCCTATTAGGTTGCATGATTACACTGAAGTCCTTGAAACTGCTGAAGTCCTTGAAACTGCTGAAGTCCTTGAAACTGTTGAAGTCCTTGAAACTGTTGAAGTCCTTGAAACTCTTGAAATCTTGAAACTGCTGAAATCCTTGAAACTGTTGAATCCTTGAAACTGTTGAATCATTGAAACTGTAGAAATGTCTGAAAGAGCTGAAGTCCTATTAAAATGCATGGGCCTATTAAAATGCATTGCAGAATTCTCAATGCAGATTTTTGTCCGATTGCGGAAAAACCGGAAATCGCTGAAGTCCCAAAAGTAATAGCAATAATCTCCCAAACATGTGGAACGTTTTGATGTATAACTTGTGGAAATTGTTGAAAATGTGAAAGCTGTGAAACGTGTCAAAAAAAATGACGGAATAAAGAAATACAAAACCAATGGTTGACTGCGGAAGGTTCCGCAGTCAATCAAAAATGACGGAATAAAGAAATACAAAACCAATGGTTGACTGCGGAAGGTTCCGCAGTCAATCAATAAAACATGTTAATAATACATGTTAATAAAACATGTTAATAAAACATGTTAATAATACATGTTAATAAAACATGTTTATTGTTCCAAAAGAAAGAGTTTTATCAATTTAAAATGTTGTAAACAAATCAAACTTTCTTTTATATTTTAAACATTTTATATGTTGTTAACTTGAGGGTCTTCTCAGTAATTTGCATGATGTTTGTGAAACTTTATCCTTATAAATAAAGTAGATAAATCATTTAATTTGCATAAATACAGTTTAGTAGTTTGGGAACATTCATCTTTGTAGAAGTTTCTAAAACAGACAATATAAGGTTTTGTGATGTTTTACCGTTACCAGTTTAATACACTGTAATGTAACAAATTATATTTGTTTTACATATTTAAATATATATACAGTATATGTGCGTTTAGCAGAGTTTACCGCTGAATCAGACAGCTATAAATGTGTAATAAATGTGTTATTAATGTGTAGTTAATGTGTTATTAATGTGTTATTAATGTGTTTTAAATGTGTTATTAATGTGTAGTTAATGTGTTATTAATGTGTTTTAAATGTGTAGTTAATGTGTTATTAATGTGTTTTAAATGTGTAGTTAATGTGTTATTAATGTGTGATTAATGTGTTATTAATGTGTTTTAAATGTGTAGTTAATGTGTAGTTAATGTGTTATTAATGTGTTATTAATGCGTTATTAATGTGTAATTAATGTGTTTTAAATGTGTAGTTAATGTGTTATTAATGTGTAATTAATGTGTTATAAATGTGTTTTAAATGTGTAGTTAATGTACACAAACTTAGTTAATGTGTTATTAATGTGTTATTAATGTGTTTTAAATGTGTAGTTAATGTGTTATTAATGTGTTATTAATGTGTAGTTAATGTGTTTTAATTGTGTTATTAATGTGTACTAAGGGTTAATAAAGTGATAATGTGTTTCAGGTCTGTCTGTGAACATCTCGGAGGAGGATCTAAAGTTTGCTCTGGAGGCGGTTCCTTCGTTTGGAACCGTCAAAGTCTCGTATCAAGGAACGTGTCGCGAACCCAAGTGGAGAGTGGAGTGGGGGTCGAGACCCGGGAACCAGCCCCCGATACACGTGAGATACTTATACTACTGCACTGGGATATTTATACTACTGCACTGAGATATTTATACTACTGCACTGGGATATTTATACTACTGCACTACTGCACTGGGATATTTATACTACTGCCCTGGGATATTTATACTACTGCCCTGGGATATTTATACTACTGCACTGGGATATTTATACTACTGCCCTGGGATATTTATACTACTGCCCTGGGATATTTATACTACTGCACTGGGATATTTATACTACTGCACTGGGATATTTATACTACTGCACTGGGATACAATACAATACAATTTATTCTTGTATAGCCCTAGGTCACAACAGAAGTCATCTCAGAGACTTAACAAAACCATTGAAATCACCAACACAGGTCAGAGAATCAACAGTTAAAACACATGAAGAATATAAAGCACACACAGAAGAAAATGTCCATACATGTTGTAGAATGCTAAAGTGTCCTGATCATCACCAATCCTTTCTGTTGGACACTAACTGTCCAACAAGACCCTCCTGCATCCACAAGGAAAAACTCTTAAAAAACCCAGTGGGAAAAAGTGAGAAACCTTGGGGAGAACTAGGGAAACCCACAGGGAGGGAGACCCATATGAGAAAGGGATCCGCTCCTCCGGACGGACAGGCTAATGATCCAGGACCTAAGCTAGCTACAGAACGTGGACCAGTGGCCGCTGAACGTGGACAGGTCCGGTGCAGGACTGAAGCACTCCCAGGCGGGTCAGGCGGGGCAGTCCGCAGGTGTAGATGGAGGAGGCCAGGCTCAGAGATCCCGTCATCGTACCATGAAACAGACAATGGGACAACGGGTGAATAGCAATGAACAAACTACAGTCTAGATCCTAAAAGTGCTAAACAGATAAAGTAGGAAGGAGGAGAGGATAGTGCTCAAGTTACCATACTTCTCCAGCAGGGGGCGCCCTATGCAGCTTGACTGACACTCTGAGGAGTTTAGCCTTCCCTGAGTCTTACCTTCCTAACCATATGCTAAACTAAAGAGGACTGTTTTAAACCTAGCCTTGAATAAAGAGATTCATGGATTACACACCAGGTGTGCAAACCGATCCAGGCAAACCTAATTATATATTATATATCATATACATCATATATACCATACATACCATATATATCATAAATAATACACAACATAACATACAGCATAATATATAACATAATATACAACATAACACAATGCATTATTGTATAATATATAACATAATATATAACATAATACAGCATATATATATAATATATACACCACATATTATATATGACCTAATTATATGCTAAATTAAAGTAAAGTGCTTTAAGCCTGGCCTTGAATGTGGAGACCGTATCTGCTTCCTTAACATAAATGAAGCTGATTCCACAGTAAAGGAGCTTGGTAGCTAAATGCTCTGCCACCAACAGTGACCTTTGAGACCTTAGGGACCACCAGACGTCTGGCGTTTTGTGAGCGCAACGCTCGACTTGGTTGATACGACACTAACGTGTCTTGGAGATAAGAAGGAGCCAAGCCATTTATGGCTTTATATGTTAAGAGAAGGATTTTAAACTTTATTCTGTACTCCACAGGAGCCAGTGGAGTGATTTTAACACCGGAGTTATGTGCTCCCTCCTTTTGGTACCTGTTAAGATCCTAGCTGCTGTATTCTGAACGAGCTGGAAGCTCTTCAAAGAGGCTTTAGGGCACGCTGCCAGTAAAGCGTTACAGTCGAGCCTTGAGGTGACAAACGCGTGAATGAGTTTTTCCGCGTCACTTTTAGGAAGGAAATTCCTAATTTTAGCGATGTTCCGTAAGTGGAAGTACGCCGTTTTAGTTGCTTGGCTTATATAAGCCTTGAAGGAGAGTTCTTGGTCAAAAATGACTCCAAGATTCCTCACAGTGTTACTGGGTATTATACTGACATTATCAGAGTAATTATCTGGTTAGTGAGGGAGTCACGCAGGCGCTTCGGACCGAGTAGGATCACTTCTGTCTTCTCCGGGTTGAGAAGTAGGAAGTTAAGAGTCATCCACATTTTAAGGTCCTTTATGCAGCACTGAGCTTTTCTAGCTGATCTGTCTGATTAGGCTTCATCGACAGATAAAGCTGTGTGTCATCTGCAGCAGTGGAAATTAATTCCATGCTTTTTAATAATGTTTCCTAACGGCAGCATGTAGAGAGTAAAAAGAATCGGTCCGAGTACCGAACCCTGCGGCACACCGAATTCTACTCCAGAATAAGGCGACGAGTTCTGATTTACGTTGACGAAGTGATACCGATCTGATAAATAGGATTTAAACCAGCCAAGGGCTGTTCCTCTAAGACCTATATCACATTCTAGCCTCTGCAGTAGAATGCTGTGGTCTATTGTGTCAAATGCAGCACTAAGGTCCAGTAGGACCAGCACTGACACTTGTCCATTATCGGCAGCTAGTAGTAAGTCATTTGTGACTTTGACTAGTGCCGTTTCAGTGCTATGATGAGCTCTGAATCCTGATTGAAAGACTTCAAACATATCATTTTCCTGCAGGTGGCAGCGAAGCTGCCCAGCTATAAGTTTTTCCAGGATTTTAGATATAAAAGTGAGGTTTGAGATCGGTCTGTAGTTTGTAAGTATTTCTGGGTCCAGGTTTGTTTTCTTCAGAAGGGGTTTGATTACCGCGGTTTTAAAAGCTTGTGGGACATAGCCACATTGTATGGATGCGTTTATTATATTTACGATAGGCTCAATTATCAAAGGAAGTATGTCTTTGAAGAGCCATGTCGGGACTGCGTCTAACATGCAAGTTGAGGCTTTTGAGGATGTGACCACAGAGATCACCTCTGCTTGGCTCACAGCCATGAATTTATCGAGGCCCACTGAAGAGTCTAAGTGGGAAGTCACGTATGCCGCTTCAGCCTGTCCACTACCAACAGCAGGAGTAACCTCCTCCACTGAAGAGTCTAAGTGGGAAGTCACGTATGCCGCTTCAACCTGTCCACCACTAACAGCAGGAGCAACCTCCTCCAGTTTGTCACGGATGGATGTCATTTTATTATTAAAGAAATGGAGAAAGTCGACACTGCTCAGTGAGCTTGGAATTTTAGGCTCGATTGCGCTATGGCAGTTTGTGAGTTTAGCGACGGTGCTAAACAAAAATCTACTGTTATTTTTATTGGCTTCTATTAAAGTTGAATAGTATTGAGTTCGAGCCCTGCGAAGGGCATTCTTGTAGTTTCGGAGACCTGCTTTCCACTCCCTGTGGACAGGCTCCGAGTGGGAGTGGCGATATAGCCTCTCCAATTTTCTGACGTCCTGTTTTAAAGTGTGGAGTTGAACACTGTACCAGGGCGACGATGATCTAATCCTAATGGTTTTCTGTTTTAAAGGAGCTGCTGCATTTAATGCAGATTTTAAAGACTCCATAGTGTTGTCCACCGTTTGGTCAATGACTGAGGGACTGCAGCAGCTGTGAACAGGTTCACCTGCAGCAGTATTCAACATAGGCTGTATTAGTTCTTTGAACCTTGTGATAGATTTATCATTTAAGGTTCTTTTCATTATGGTTTTATCTTGCGGGACAGGAAAGTCCTCCAAATCGAGATCAAACGTGATCAAGAAATGGTCAGACAGCAACGAGCTTTGACGCTGGATGTCAACATTGGAGACATCACAGCCGTAGGTCAGGACAAGGTCCAAGGTGTGGTTATGAATGTGAGTAGGTTCCTCGACATTCTGAGTAAAACCAACACCATCTAGTACGGCGCTGAAAGCTTTGTTTAAGCTGTCAGTGCTGTCGTCCACATGTATATTGAAGTCTCCAGCTATAACTATGTTTTCCCATTCCAAAACTAGGTTTGAAATGAAGTCAGAGAATTCTGTTAGGAACTCGCTGTAAGGACCAGGAGGTTGGTATAAAACTATAAATAGTACTGCTTTTAGTTTTCAAACGAGTGAAAAGCGTTGTTGGTTTTGGGACTAAGAACCAAGTTGGTGTGTGATATAATCGCAACGCCACCGCCGCGACCTGTAGCTCTGGCTTTCTGGTAGTTAACATGCGTCGGAGGAGTGCACTCATTCAATCTAACGTAGTCGTCCTGTTGGAGCCAAGTCTCCGAGAGCTCAAACAGATCCAAGCCCTTGTCTATAATAAGTTCGTTTATGAGAAGCGATTTAGACGAGATTGATCTGACGTTCATTAAACCACATTTAACAACCCTACTGTTAGAACTATTTCTGTCTGAACTTTTATTAAGTTACTGTGTCTGACACCTAGGTCAGATTTCCTCATATAGTGCTTTAGACTTCAAGCGAGGAACACACACAGTTTCAATCTGACTAGGTTCTGAGGCTAGTAACTAAGCACACACAGGCACACACACACATGCACACACAGTTTCAATCTGACTAGCTTCTGAGGCTAGTAACTGAACACACACACACACACACACACAGGCACACACACACACACACATGCACACACAGTTTCAATCTGACTAGCTTCTGAGGCTAGTAACTGAGCACACACAGGCACACACACACATGCACACACAGTTTCAATCTGACTAGCCTCTGAGGCTAGTAACTGAACAGATGGGGGCTCAGAGGTTGTGGCAGAGCAGCTCTGCACCCGGGCCTCAGTTCTGCATCGTCATTTGAGCCGAGCAGAACAGTTTAGAGCCAGGGCCAAATTCTTAGCCAAAAGGGATGTACCCGCCAACGTTGGGTGGATATCATCCGAGCGGATGAGACCGGGCTTTCCCCAAAAGGCACTCCAATTGTCAACATGAACAACACCACTTCGAGGGCACCAGCCAGACAGCCAGCGGTTGAAAGCCGAGTGTCTGCTGAATGCTTCTGCACTGCTAGTGCTAGGTAGGGGCCCAGAGAAGATGACAGTGTCGGCCATTGTGCTAGGTAGGGGCCCAGAGAAGATGACAGTGTCGGCCATTGTGCTAGGTAGGGGCCCAGAGAAGATGACAGTGTCGGCCATTGTGCTAGGTAGGGGCCCAGAGAAGATGACAGTGTCGGCCATTGTGCTAGGTAGGGGCCCAGAGAAGATGACAGTGTCGGCCATTGTGCTAGGTAGGGGCCCAGAGAAGATGACAGTGTCGGCCATTGTGCTAGGTAGGGGCCCAGAGAAGATGACAGTGTTGGCCATTGTGCTAGGTAGGGGCCCAGAGAAGATGACAGTGTCGGCCATTGTGCTAGGTAGGGGCCCAGAGAAGATGACAGTGTCGGCCATTGTGCTAGGTAGGGGCCCAGAGAAGATGACAGTGTCGGCCATTGTGCTAGTGCTAGGTAGGGGCCCAGAGAAGATGACAGTGTCGGCCATTGTGCTAGCCAGCTTGCACACGGCGGCGACTTGCAGCTTCAACACCTCGGACTGTTTCCGCCGAACGTCATTACCACCCGCGTGAATAACAATTCGACGGAAACGCTGCTTGTGGGGATATTTATACTACTGCACTGGGAAATTTATACTACTGCACTGGGATATTTATACTACTGCACTGGGATATTTATACTACTGCACTGGGATATTTATACTACTGCACTGGGATATTTATACTACTGCACTGGGATATTTATACTACTGCACTGGGATATTTATACTACTGCACTGGGATATTTATACTACTGCACTGGGATATTTATACTACTACACTGGGATATTTATACTACTGCACTGGGATATTTATACTACTGCACTGGGATATTTATACTACTGCACTGGGATATTTATACTACTATACTGGGATATTTATACTACTATACTGGGATATTTATACTACTGCACTGGGATACACCTGAGATAGAAAAGTTGAAAAGAGAGACAGCCTCTCTCAGCCAATCAGCTCTCAGCCTGTGGAGTCCAAGAGTGACTCCTACGGCTCCTTTTGATCAAGTATAAAAACATACTATTAAATAATAATAAACATTCCCTAACCCTGATGATGATGTTCTTTGCAGATCGACAGCTCAAACGTCATTGGCCCCGGCGTGAACATGTTTTCCAAAGAGACTGTAGAAGGAGGGATCTTATTGGACAAACTAACGGGAGATTACTTCCGTGTGAAGGAAACCAAACCACAGGTAAAGCTGTTTCAAGCTGATTTAAATGTTACTGTTCCGTGTCTCAAAGGCTTCGTGTTCAGGACGAGACGAGCAGCGAGTCTGAGATTAACGTGACATCACAATGTCCACAGTCAATAATGTCTTTGTGCTGCTCTACTTTACCAGACCGTGAAAGTAAAGAGGCCGTAAAACTGTGCCGCCCAGTCACTACATCATTGATCAAACTGGGCGGCCAGTCTCGCCTCTTAGCAAGAAGGTCCTGGGTTCGAGTCCCGGTCGGACCAGGGCCTTTTTGAGTGGCCCTGGTCCACTAAAAATATGTACAATAGTTCTGGCATGTGCCTCCTGTTCGGCGACCCCGCTCCCATCTCTGTCTGGAGTGAGAGACTAATGCCAAAAAATAACAATTGTAAACCGCTTTGTGACTCTGGTCTGCAGTGAAAAGGCGGTATATAAATAAAGATTACTTACTTAAATATAACTTTATAACATGAGAAAGAGTGGTTTGTATGTTTCACTAAGAACACCTGGTTATAGACTTCTTACAGAGTCTACAACTCTAGGTAAAAAATAACGTCAAACTCTTATCAGTCTGTGAATAATATAAAACATGTGTCCTTCTTCTTCTTGAGTCAAACTTTCTGAGATGAACTTGAACCAGTTTTTGTTCCAAACTCAGAGACTTTGTTTGAAGCCTTTTGTTTTGGTGCAGGTTCTTCATCAGTCAAAGACCAAGAGTTCAAACCCAACATTAAAGTAAACTAAAGTAGCTCTAGTCTCCAGAGACCCGCAGAACCCTCCTTTACATGAACTGTGGAACATGTAATCAGAGGCCCACACTACAGACCTCAGCGTCACTCAGAGTCCGGCCAGATTCCATTTATTTATTTATATTTTACACTTACGACAAAATCAGAAAAGTGTAGTAACGCAGAGACACTGTCGGACTTACACAGATATGATTCATTATCAGTACATTTTAATAATATTCAAGTTTTGTAATGAACATAATGAAAGGTTTTTGACTTCAGTCCGACTGGTTTGTTTTTGTCTCTTTTTACCTTTTACATTGAAACATGAGACTTTAGATCCAGTTTAAAAACAGATCATTTTTTGGCCTTTGGACAAAAGAGACTGAGACTGATTCAGAAAAAGACAGATTAAGGTCAGAGCCTGTGGCGCGACTTCTCTCAGATTACAACAAACACATTCTTCAGGTTTCTCTCTTTTCATTTATTTTATAATATTCAACGTTCAAACTCACTGTAACTTTATCAAATCAGACGACAACAACATTCAGAAAAGACTCATTTAAGAGAAGGTTTGTGTTTCCTCTCAAAAATGGTTTGTAATTTAAAAATATAGTTAGTTTCAATCAAAACTGAGATTTAAAATGAATATTCTGTGTAATAATCTGTATAAAAATGATAATATTCTGTATAATAATAATAATATTCTGTATAATAATAATAATATTCTGTATAATAATAATAATATTATTCTGTATAATAATAATATTCTGTATAATAATAATATTCTGTATAATAATAATATTATTCTGTATAATATTAATGATAATAAATCCACAGGTGTCACAGATAAAGCACAGGTTAAGAGTCTGTTTTTCTTCTTTTCATTCAGGCCCAAGTTTACATCAACAACATCATCTCCAGGTGCTACGGGGACTGCAGCTTCATGTGGAGCGCGGACAAGACGCCTGTGGTCACAGCAGTCAGTCCATCTGAAGGTACACAGGGACTCGGGGACAAAGGTACACAGGGACTGACACAGACACAGACACAGACACTGACTCAGACTCAGACTCAGACACAGACTCAGACTCAGACTCAGACTCAGACTCAGACTCAGACTCAGACACATGGACAGACACAGATACAGACACAAACACAGAGACAGACACAGGGACTGACTCAGACTCAGACTCAGACTCAGACTCAGACACAGACACAGACACAGACACAGGGACTGACACTGACTCAGACTCAGACTCAGACACAGACACAGATACAGACACAAACACAGACACAGACACAGACACAGACACAAACACAGATACAGACACAGGGACTGACTCAGACACTGACACAGACTCCTGGTGACTCGGTCTAAAATCATTTTCCTTCAGTTCGTTGCTAATTTCTCTGTAATTCCTAAACTATGGTCTACTTGTTTTCTCTTAAACTAGTCCAGGGTCTGACAGTCTTAAACTAGTCCAGGGTCAGACGGTCTTAAACTAGTCCAGGGTCTGACGGTCTTAAACTAGTCCAGGGTCTGACGGTCTTGAACCTTTCAGGGTCTGACGGTCTTAAACTAGTCCAGGGTCTGACGGTCTTAAACTAGTCCAGGGTCTGACGGTCTTGAACCTTTCAGGGTCTGACGGTCTTAAACTAGTCCAGGGTCAGACGGTCTTAAACTAGTCCAGGGTCAGACGGTCTTAAACTAGTCCAGGGTCAGACGGTCTTAAACTAGTCCAGGGTCAGACGGTCTTAAACTAGTCCAGGGTCTGACGGTCTTAAACTAGTCCAGGGTCTGACGGTCTTAAACTAGTCCAGGGTCTGACGGTCTTAAACTAGTCCAGGGTCTGACGGTCTTAAACTAGTCCAGGGTCTGACGGTCTTGAACCTTTCAGGGTCTGACGGTCTTAAACTAGTCCAGGGTCTGACGGTCTTAAACTAGTCCAGGGTCTGACGGTCTTGAACCTTTCAGGGTCTGACGGTCTTAAAACTAGTCCATGGTCAGACGGTCTTAAACTAGTCCAGGGTCTGACGGTCTTAAACTAGTCCAGGGTCTGACGGTCTTAAACTAGTCCAGGGTCTGACGGTCTTAAACTAGTCCAGGGTCTGACGGTCTTAAACTAGTCCAGGGTCTGACGGTCTTAAACTAGTCCAGGGTCTGACGGTCTTAAACTAGTCCAGGGTCTGACGGTCTTGAACCTTTCAGGGTCTGACGGTCTTAAACTAGTCCAGGGTCTGACGGTCTTAAACTAGTCCAGGGTCTGACGGTCTTAAACTAGTCCAGGGTCTGACGGTCTTAAACTAGTCCAGGGTCTGACGGTCTTAAACTAGTCCAGGGTCTGACGGTCTTAAACTAGTCCAGGGTCTGACGGTCTTAAACTAGTCCAGGGTCTGACGGTCTTAAACTAGTCCAGGGTCTGACGGTCTTAAACTAGTCCAGGGTCTGACGGTCTTGAACCTTTCAGGGTCTGACGGTCTTAAACTAGTCCAGGGTCTGACGGTCTTAAACTAGTCCAGGGTCAGACGGTCTTAAACTAGTCCAGGGTCTGACGGTCTTAAACTAGTCCATGGTCTGACAGTCTTAAACTAGTCCAGGGTCTGACGGTCTTAAACTAGTCCAGGGTCTGACGGTCTTAAACTAGTCCAGGGTCTGACGGTCTTGAACCTTTCAGGGTCTGACGGTCTTAAACTAGTCCAGGGTCAGACGGTCTTAAACTAGTCCAGGGTCTGACGGTCTTAAACTAGTCCAGGGTCTGACGGTCTTGAACCTTTCAGGGTCTGACGGTCTTAAACTAGTCCAGGGTCAGACGGTCTTAAACTAGTCCAGGGTCTGACGGTCTTAAACTAGTCCAGGGTCTGACGGTCTTGAACTAGTCCAGGGTCAGACGGTCTTAAACTAGTCCAGGGTCTGACGGTCTTAAACTAGTCCAGGGTCTGACGGTCTTAAACTAGTCCAGGGTCTGACGGTCTTGAACCTTTCAGGGTCTGACGGTCTTAAACTAGTCCAGGGTCTGACGGTCTTAAACTAGTCCAGGGTCTGACGGTCTTGAACCTTTCAGGGTCTGACGGTCTTAAACTAGTCCAGGGTCAGACGGTCTTAAACTAGTCCAGGGTCTGACGGTCTTAAACTAGTCCAGGGTCTGACGGTCTTGAACCTTTCAGGGTCTGACGGTCTTGAACCTTTCAGGGTCTGACGGTCTTAAACTAGTCCAGGGTCTGACGGTCTTAAACTAGTCCAGGGTCTGACGGTCTTAAACTAGTCCAGGGTCAGACGGTCTTAAACTAGTCCAGGGTCAGACGGTCTTAAACTAGTCCAGGGTCAGATGGTCTTAAACTAGTCCAGGGTCTGACGGTCTTAAACTAGTCCAGGGTCAGATGGTCTTAAACTAGTCCAGGGTCTGACGGTCTTAAACTAGTCCAGGGTCTGACGGTCTTGAACCTTTCAGGGTCTGACGGTCTTAAACTAGTCCAGGGTCTAACGGTCTTAAACTAGTCCAGGGTCTGACGGTCTTAAACTAGTCCAGGGTCTGACGGTCTTGAACCTTTCAGGGTCTGACGGTCTTAAACTAGTCCAGGGTCTGACGGTCTTAAACTAGTCCAGGGTCAGACGGTCTTAAACTAGTCCAGGGTCTGACGGTCTTGAACCTTTCAGGGTCAGACGGTCTTAAACTAGTCCAGGGTCTGACGGTCTTAAACTAGTCCAGGGTCTGACGGTCTTAAACTAGTCCAGGGTCAGACGGTCTTAAACTAGTCCAGGGTCTGACGGTCTTGAACCTTTCAGGGTCTGACGGTCTTAAACTAGTCCAGGGTCTGACGGTCTTAAACTAGTCCAGGGTCAGACGGTCTTAAACTAGTCCAGGGTCTGACGGTCTTAAACTAGTCCATGGTCTGACAGTCTTAAACTAGTCCAGGGTCTGACGGTCTTAAACTAGTCCAGGGTCTGACGGTCTTAAACTAGTCCAGGGTCTGACGGTCTTGAACCTTTCAGGGTCTGACGGTCTTAAACTAGTCCAGGGTCAGACGGTCTTAAACTAGTCCAGGGTCTGACGGTCTTAAACTAGTCCAGGGTCTGACGGTCTTGAACCTTTCAGGGTCTGACGGTCTTAAACTAGTCCAGGGTCAGACGGTCTTAAACTAGTCCAGGGTCTGACGGTCTTAAACTAGTCCAGGGTCTGACGGTCTTGAACTAGTCCAGGGTCAGACGGTCTTAAACTAGTCCAGGGTCTGACGGTCTTAAACTAGTCCAGGGTCTGACGGTCTTAAACTAGTCCAGGGTCTGACGGTCTTGAACCTTTCAGGGTCTGACGGTCTTAAACTAGTCCAGGGTCTGACGGTCTTAAACTAGTCCAGGGTCTGACGGTCTTGAACCTTTCAGGGTCTGACGGTCTTAAACTAGTCCAGGGTCAGACGGTCTTAAACTAGTCCAGGGTCTGACGGTCTTAAACTAGTCCAGGGTCTGACGGTCTTAAACTAGTCCAGGGTCAGACGGTCTTAAACTAGTCCAGGGTCTGACGGTCTTAAACTAGTCCAGGGTCTGACGGTCTTAAACTAGTCCAGGGTCTGACGGTCTTAAACTAGTCCAGGGTCTGACGGTCTTAAACTAGTCCAGGGTCTGACGGTCTTAAACTAGTCCAGGGTCAGACGGTCTTAAACTAGTCCAGGGTCTGACGGTCTTAAACTAGTCCAGGGTCTGACGGTCTTAAACTAGTCCAGGGTCTGACGGTCTTAAACTAGTCCAGGGTCTGACGGTCTTAAACTAGTCCAGGGTCTGACGGTCTTAAACTAGTCCAGGGTCTGACGGTCTTAAACTAGTCCAGGGTCTGACGGTCTTAAACTAGTCCAGGGTCTGACGGTCTTAAACTAGTCCAGGGTCTGACGGTCTTGAACCTTTCAGGGTCTGACGGTCTTAAACTAGTCCAGGGTCTGACGGTCTTAAACTAGTCCAGGGTCAGACGGTCTTAAACTAGTCCAGGGTCTGACGGTCTTAAACTAGTCCATGGTCTGACAGTCTTAAACTAGTCCAGGGTCTGACGGTCTTAAACTAGTCCAGGGTCTGACGGTCTTAAACTAGTCCAGGGTCTGACGGTCTTGAACCTTTCAGGGTCTGACGGTCTTAAACTAGTCCAGGGTCAGACGGTCTTAAACTAGTCCAGGGTCTGACGGTCTTAAACTAGTCCAGGGTCTGACGGTCTTGAACCTTTCAGGGTCTGACGGTCTTAAACTAGTCCAGGGTCAGACGGTCTTAAACTAGTCCAGGGTCTGACGGTCTTAAACTAGTCCAGGGTCTGACGGTCTTGAACTAGTCCAGGGTCAGACGGTCTTAAACTAGTCCAGGGTCTGACGGTCTTAAACTAGTCCAGGGTCTGACGGTCTTAAACTAGTCCAGGGTCTGACGGTCTTGAACCTTTCAGGGTCTGACGGTCTTAAACTAGTCCAGGGTCTGACGGTCTTAAACTAGTCCAGGGTCTGACGGTCTTGAACCTTTCAGGGTCTGACGGTCTTAAACTAGTCCAGGGTCAGACGGTCTTAAACTAGTCCAGGGTCTGACGGTCTTAAACTAGTCCAGGGTCTGACGGTCTTGAACCTTTCAGGGTCTGACGGTCTTGAACCTTTCAGGGTCTGACGGTCTTAAACTAGTCCAGGGTCTGACGGTCTTAAACTAGTCCAGGGTCTGACGGTCTTAAACTAGTCCAGGGTCAGACGGTCTTAAACTAGTCCAGGGTCAGACGGTCTTAAACTAGTCCAGGGTCAGATGGTCTTAAACTAGTCCAGGGTCTGACGGTCTTAAACTAGTCCAGGGTCAGATGGTCTTAAACTAGTCCAGGGTCTGACGGTCTTAAACTAGTCCAGGGTCTGACGGTCTTGAACCTTTCAGGGTCTGACGGTCTTAAACTAGTCCAGGGTCTAACGGTCTTAAACTAGTCCAGGGTCTGACGGTCTTAAACTAGTCCAGGGTCTGACGGTCTTGAACCTTTCAGGGTCTGACGGTCTTAAACTAGTCCAGGGTCTGACGGTCTTAAACTAGTCCAGGGTCAGACGGTCTTAAACTAGTCCAGGGTCTGACGGTCTTGAACCTTTCAGGGTCAGACGGTCTTAAACTAGTCCAGGGTCTGACGGTCTTAAACTAGTCCAGGGTCTGACGGTCTTAAACTAGTCCAGGGTCAGACGGTCTTAAACTAGTCCAGGGTCTGACGGTCTTGAACCTTTCAGGGTCTGACGGTCTTAAACTAGTCCAGGGTCTGACGGTCTTAAACTAGTCCAGGGTCAGACGGTCTTAAACTAGTCCAGGGTCTGACGGTCTTAAACTAGTCCATGGTCTGACAGTCTTAAACTAGTCCAGGGTCTGACGGTCTTAAACTAGTCCAGGGTCTGACGGTCTTAAACTAGTCCAGGGTCTGACGGTCTTGAACCTTTCAGGGTCTGACGGTCTTAAACTAGTCCAGGGTCAGACGGTCTTAAACTAGTCCAGGGTCTGACGGTCTTAAACTAGTCCAGGGTCTGACGGTCTTGAACCTTTCAGGGTCTGACGGTCTTAAACTAGTCCAGGGTCAGACGGTCTTAAACTAGTCCAGGGTCTGACGGTCTTAAACTAGTCCAGGGTCTGACGGTCTTGAACTAGTCCAGGGTCAGACGGTCTTAAACTAGTCCAGGGTCTGACGGTCTTAAACTAGTCCAGGGTCTGACGGTCTTAAACTAGTCCAGGGTCTGACGGTCTTGAACCTTTCAGGGTCTGACGGTCTTAAACTAGTCCAGGGTCTGACGGTCTTAAACTAGTCCAGGGTCTGACGGTCTTGAACCTTTCAGGGTCTGACGGTCTTAAACTAGTCCAGGGTCAGACGGTCTTAAACTAGTCCAGGGTCTGACGGTCTTAAACTAGTCCAGGGTCTGACGGTCTTAAACTAGTCCAGGGTCAGACGGTCTTAAACTAGTCCAGGGTCTGACGGTCTTAAACTAGTCCAGGGTCTGACGGTCTTAAACTAGTCCAGGGTCTGACGGTCTTAAACTAGTCCAGGGTCTGACGGTCTTAAACTAGTCCAGGGTCTGACGGTCTTAAACTAGTCCAGGGTCAGACGGTCTTAAACTAGTCCAGGGTCTGACGGTCTTAAACTAGTCCAGGGTCTGACGGTCTTAAACTAGTCCAGGGTCTGACGGTCTTAAACTAGTCCAGGGTCTGACGGTCTTAAACTAGTCCAGGGTCAGACGGTCTTAAACTAGTCCAGGGTCTGACGGTCTTGAACCTTTCAGGGTCTGACGGTCTTGAACCTTTCAGGGTCTGACGGTCTTAAACTAGTCCAGGGTCTGACGGTCTTAAACTAGTCCAGGGTCTGACGGTCTTAAACTAGTCCAGGGTCAGACGGTCTTAAACTAGTCCAGGGTCAGACGGTCTTAAACTAGTCCAGGGTCAGATGGTCTTAAACTAGTCCAGGGTCTGACGGTCTTAAACTAGTCCAGGGTCAGATGGTCTTAAACTAGTCCAGGGTCTGACGGTCTTAAACTAGTCCAGGGTCTGACGGTCTTAAACTAGTCCAGGGTCAGACGGTCTTAAACTAGTCCAGGGTCTGACGGTCTTGAACCTTTCAGGGTCTGACGGTCTGAACACTCTCCTGACCGTGACGGGGACTGGGTTTGCGGATGAGAAGGCGACCGTGATGGTTGGAGCGGTGCAGTGCAACGTGACGACCACGACAGGTACGACTGGGATCAAACTGAAACTGTTCTGGTCCAAAAGGAGAAGAGTCTTCAGAGTGATGTGTGTGTGCAGCCTCCTCGCAGGTCTGCCGTCTGGGCCGCTCCGTCGCCGGAACGTTCCCAGTGTCCGTGACGTTCCCGTCTCTCGGAAACTCAAAGTTCTCCGGAGACAGCGTCCTCTACTTCACCTACAAACTCATCGTCTCGTCCTTCTCCCCGACGTCTGGAAGTCTGGCCGGTAAATGCTACGAGCTGAAATGTCCATCTTGCAAAAAAATATAAAAGTGTAATTTTTACAGTTGCTCCAAATGAAAAAACATGTTAACCAAAAATAAATGTGACCTTTTAAGAACATTTACTTCCACCATGTTTATGAATAGTTGGAATAGACTCAGGCTGTGATCTACAAATGTCCATGAGGCTGAGGACTCCCTGTTAATGCTCCTTTTTATACCATGGTCCAAAAGGGACAAAAAGGAGTTTGAGCGGGAGTTGGGGACCACTGTAAAACCTCATATTGTCCTGTGAAGCTAATGTAGTACAGGAAATTACAACATATGATCTCAGAGCTGGACAAGAGTAAAAACTACACAGTGCACCTTTAAGGAGCCATTTTTTTTGTGTTTTTGAAATGATATGGACAGTTTTGAGAATCAGCTGTGATGAAATATCAGAATATTTATGGTTCTGGTTTCTTACAGTAGATCAGTCCCTTCATGTTTCTAGCTTTCAGAACTACTTTATATACTACTGTTAAACCTTATAAAACTCAAACACATTATGTCTCCATCACTAATCCCTAATGTGCATAACCCCTGTGTTCTTTCAGGAGGATCCGTGATTACAGTAAAAGGTTTTGGATTTGGTTTGAACGCTTCGGTAAACGTTGGGAACAGGTCCTGTGCAGTCGTCGATGCCTCTGAGACTGAACTGAGATGCACGACGCCGCCTGTGAGTGAAACAAGATCCATTCCGTCTGTGATTCTCTGATTCCTGCAGTGTTTGTTTGATGATGCAGGGAGCGGCCGGTGCTGCAGCCGTGACTGTGACGGTGGGAAACCTCTCAGAGACGGCATCAGACTCTTTCTCCTACGACAGCGATCAGACGCCTCAGATCTCCTCCATCAGTCCCACCACCACCTCCGTCAACGGTCCGTCTGCTCTGGTCTCTTCTGGTCTCCTCTGGTCCCCGCTGGTCCCCTCTGGTCTCCTCTGGTCTCCTCTGGTCCCCTCTGGTCTCTCTCTGGTCTCTCTCTGGTCCCCTCTGGTCTCCTCTGGTCTCCTCTGGTCCCCTCTGGTCTCTCTCTGGTCCCCTCTGGTCTCCTCTGGTCTCTCTCTGGTCCCCTCTGGTCCCCTCTGGTCTCCTCTGGTCTCTCTCTGGTCCCCTCTGGTCTCTCTCTGGTCCCCTCTGGTCTCTCTCTGGTCCCCTCTGGTCTCTCTCTGGTCTCCTCTGGTCCCCTCTGGTCTCTCTCTGGTCCCCTCTGGTCTCCTCTGGTCTCTCTCTGGTCCCCTCTGGTCCCCTCTGGTCCCCTCTGGTCTCCTCTGGTCTCTCTCTGGTCCCCTCTGGTCTCTCTCTGGTCCACTCTGGTCCCCTCGGGTCCCCTCTGGTCCTGTGCTGCCTACAGTCCCTTGCGTCTCACTGTAGTCTGTAGTCTGCGTAATCGTCTCTGTCACAGCTGTAGATCAGATTATTCAGACAGGAAAGTGCTAAAGAAAGGACCGCCTCCTTCAGCCGATCGGCTCTCTGCCCAAACAGTCGAATAATGACTCAGAGATGGTTCTTGAATTAGGGTTTGGGTTTTAGCAAAAGTTCTATGGTTTCTGAGATGAAGACAGCAGTAGTGTCGTTCTGAGTTATTATCTAAGAGAATAAAAAGTTAGGTACCCCAGCTTTAATAAGTCTGTGTTAATAACACAGTGATCTAACTCTGACAAACTGACCCTGCCTTTGACAAACACATTGTTGTCTGTAGAGTGATGTCACATGATCTTTCTGAACTCTCTGAAGCTGGTGTCTCGGACTTCAGCGTGTTTAGGCGTGTTTAGGCCTGTATCGTTGTATTGTTGTATTGTTGTATTGTTGTATTGTTGTATTGTTGTAGTGTCTTTATCTATTTGACATTGTATTTGAATGATTAAGTATCATCACCGTGTTTGGAGTGAGCAAATAATGACCTGTGAAGCGTCTTTGAGAGTCCAAAACACGCTTTATAAAACTGATGCATTATTATTTATTATTATTATTATTATTATTATTATTATTATAATTATAATGATAAAGTTCCCAGCAGTGTCTCTGTGCGTGTGATCCACTAAACCCTCTTCCGTCTCGGCTCATGCTGTAATCTCCCCAGGCCACGATAACAATAGTCTACATACTCTGCATGTTCAAAGCCCTAGAATAACTATTATCTTTTTGTTTTCAGCGGCTGCTTTAGCCGAGGCTTGACAGGAGCAGACGCTTCACAATGACAAGTGTCAAAGAGAATGGCCGAGTGTCATCAGTGTTTCAGCCTCTGTCGGTGCTATGTTGTTCTGCTTGTTTTATGGGAATCTTAGCAACAAAGAAAAATGCATCTTTCAACAGACTGCTCCGAGACGATGTCCTTTGTTCAGACTCTCACGGTCTCATTATTATGACTCACCAATGACACATTACTGTCTTTGTTCCCGACAGGACGCAGAGTTCTGAGGATCGAAGGGTCCAGTCTGGGGCCACAGCACAGGGACAGTGTAGTGACGGTGGGGGCAGAAGTGTGTGTTGTGTTGCAGTGGACACACACTAACATCAGCTGCCTCCTGCCAGTGCTGCCCCCGGGGCCTCACCACATCCACACCAACGTCCAGGGCTACGGACATGCACAGCTCAGGTACAGGCCCCACTGCATCATGGGAAACCAGGCTGGTCCAGGGCTGAACTAGGCTGGTCCAGGGCTGAACTAGGCTGGTTCAGGGCTGAACTAGGCTGGTCCAGGGCAGAACTAGGCTGGTCCAGGGCTGAACTAGGCTGGTCCAGGGCTGAACTAGGCTGGTCCAGGTCAGAACTAGGCTGGTCCAGGGCAGAACTAGGCTGGTCCAGGGCTGAACTAGGCTGGTCCAGGGCTGAACTAGGCTGGTCCAGGGCAGACCTAGGCTGGTCCAGGGCTGAACTAAGCTGGTCCAGGTCAGAACTAAGCTGGTCCAGGGCAGAACTAGGCTGGTCCAGGGCTGAACTAGGCTGGTCCAGGGCAGACCTAGGCTGGTCCAGGGCTGAACTAGGCTGGTCCAGGTCAGAACTAGGCTGGTCCAGGGCAGAACTAGGCTGGTCCAGGGCTGAACTAGGCTGGTCCAGGGCTGAACTAGGCTGGTCCAGGGCAGACCTAGGCTGGTCCAGGGCTGAACTAAGCTGGTCCAGGTCAGAACTAAGCTGGTCCAGGGCAGAACTAGGCTGGTCCAGGGCTGAACTAGGCTGGTCCAGGGCAGACCTAGGCTGGTCCAGGGCTGAACTAAGCTGGTCCAGGTCAGAACTAAGCTGGTCCAGGGCTGAACTAGGCTGGTCCACGGCAGAACTAGGCTCCAGGTCATAACTAGGCTGGTCCAGGGCTGAACTAGGCTGGTCCAGGGCTGAACTAAGCTGGTCCAGGTCAGAACTAAGCTGGTCCAGGGCAGAACTAAGCTGGTCCAGGGCTGAACTAGGCTGGTCCAGGTCATAACTAGGCTGGTCCAGGGCTGAACTAGGCTGGTCCAGGGCAGAACTAGGCTGGTCCAGGGCTGAACTAGGCTGGTCCAGGGCAGAACTAGGCTGGTCCAGGGCTGAACTAAGCTGGTCCAGGTCAGAACTAAGCTGGTCCAGGGCAGAACTAAGCTGGTCCAGGGCTGAACTAGGCTGGTCCAGGGCAGAACTAGGCTGGTCCAGGGCTGAACTAGGCTGGTCCAGGGCAGAACTAGGCTGGTCCAGGTCAGAACTAAGCTGGTCCAGGGCTGAACTAGGCTGGTCCAGGGCAGAACTAGGCTGGTCCAGGTCATAACTTTGCTGGTCCAGGGCTGAACTAGGCTGGTCCAGGGCAGAACTAGGCTGGTCCAGGTCAGAACTAAGCTGGTCCAGGGCAGAACTAGGCTGGTCCAGGTCATAACTTTGCTGGTCCAGGTCAGAACTAAGCTGGTCCAGGGCAGAACTAGGCTGGTCCAGGGCTGAACTAGGCTGGTCCAGGGCAGAACTAGGCTGGTCCAGGTCAGAACTTAGCTGGTCCAGGTCAGAACTAAGCTGGTCCAGGGCAGAACTAGGCTGGTCCAGGTCAGAACTTAGCTGGTCCAGGGCTGAACTAGGCTGGTCCAGGGCAGAACTAGGCTGGTCCAGGTCATAACTTTGCTGGTCCAGGGCTGAACTAGGCTGGTCCAGGGCAGAACTAGGCTGGTCCAGGTCAGAACTAAGCTGGTCCAGGGCAGAACTAGGCTGGTCCAGGTCATAACTTTGCTGGTCCAGGTCAGAACTAAGCTGGTCCAGGGCTGAACTAGGCTGGTCCAGGGCTGAACTAGGCTGGTCCAGGACAGAACTAGGCTGGTCCAGGTCAGAACTTAGCTGGTCCAGGTCAGAACTAAGCTGGTCCAGGGCAGAACTAGGCTGGTCCAGGTCAGAACTTAGCTGGTCCAGGGCAGAACTAGGCTGGTCCAGGGCTGAACTAGGCTGGTCCAGGTCAGAACTTAGCTGGTCCAGGGCAGAACTAGGCTGGTCCAGGTCAAAACTAGGCTGGTCCAGGGCAGAACTAGGCTGGTCCAGGTCAAAACTAGGCTGGTCCAGGGCAGAACTAGGCTGGTCCAGGGCGCCTCCAATAAGTCCATTGTAAAGTCAGATTAGAGGAAGAAGAAGAAGGTCCTTTAATCATCCCTCAGTGGGGAAATGTCAGTTTGATGAATACACATAAAAGCATCAAGGCAGCGAACGTCACTTCCAGGCAAAGTGGGTCAAATGTCTTGCCCAAGGACACAACAACAGCAGACATCAGTGGAGTCGGTGGAGACGGTCTTGTGGTGGGATCAAACCCACAACCTTTAGGCTCAAAGGCCGATGCTTGTGTGTTGTGTATTTATTGTGTCTCTTTGTGTATAAGGAGGATCCGTTGAGCTAGCGGGTTAGCATTATCCATGATCCATTATCCATACATCAGACTGATCCTGGACCACATCAGACTGATCCTGGACCACATCAGACTGATCCTGGACCACATCAGACTGATCCTGGACCTGGACCGCATCAGACTGATCCTGGACCACATCAGACTGATCCTGGACCACATCAGACTGATCCTGGACCACATCAGACTGATCCTGGACCTGGACCACATCAGACTGATCCTGGACCACATCAGACTGATCCTAGACCTGGACCACATCAGACTGATCCTGGACCACATCAGACTGATCCTGGACCTGGACCACATCATACTGATCCTGGATCTGGACCACATCAGACTGATCCTGGGCCACATCAGACTGATCCTGGACCACATTAGACTGATCCTGGACCACATCAGACTGATCCTGGACCACATCAGACTGATCCTGGACCACATCAGACTGATCCTGGACCACATCAGACTGATCCTGGACCACATCAGACTGATCCTGGACCACATCAGACTGATCCTGGACCACATCAGACTGATCCTGGACCACATTAGACTGATCCTGGACCACATCAGACTGATCCTGGACCACATCAGACTGATCCTGGACCACATTAGACTGATCCTGCACCACATCAGACCGATCCTGGACCACATCTGACTGATCCTGGACTACATCAGACTGATCCTGGACCTGGACCACATCAGACTGATCCTGGACCTGGACCACATCAGACTGATCCTGGACCACATTAGACTGATCCTGGATCTCACAGCAGTGACAACATTTCAACAGTTTTACAGTGTGTTTTTACAGTGTGTTTTACAGTGTGTTTTTACAGTGTGTTTTTACAGTGTGTTTTTACAGTGTGTTTTTACAGTGTGTTTTACAGTGTGTTTTACAGTGTGTTTTTACAGTATGTTTTACAGTGTGTTTTTACAGTGTGTTTTTACAGTGTGTTTTTACAGTGTGTTTTACAGTGTGTTTTACAGTGTGTTTTTACAGTGTGTTTTTACAGTGTGTTTTTACAGTGTGTTTTTACAGTGTGTTTTTACAGTGTGTTTTTACAGTGTGTTTTACAGTGTGTTTTTACAGTGTGTTTTTACAGTGTGTTTTTACAGTGTTTTTACAGTGTGTTTTTACAGTGTGTTTTTACAGTGTGTTTTTACAGTGTGTTTTTACAGTGTGTTTTACAGTGTGTTTTACAGTGTGTTTTTACAGTGTGTTTTTACAGTGTGTTTTTACAGTGTGTTTTACAGTGTGTTTTACAGTGTGTTTTTACAGTGTGTTTTTACAGTGTGTTTTTACAGTGTGTTTTACAGTGTGTTTTTACAGTGTGTTTTTACAGTGTGTTTTTACAGTGTGTTTTACAGTGTGTTTTTACAGTGTGTTTTTACAGTGTGTTTTTACAGTGTGTTTTTACAGTGTGTTTTTACAGTGTGTTTTACAGTGTGTTTTACAGTGTGTTTTTACAGTGTGTTTTTACAGTGTGTTTTTACAGTGTGATGTATTTATTTATATTTTGTCAAAGTGATGGAGTGAGGTCCAGTGTTGAGTACGTCCTGGAGGTCCACGGTCTGTCTCCTGTGGTCGGGTCTCTGATGGGAGGAACCAAACTCACCGTCACAGGCGCTGGGTTCAGTCCCAACTCCTCTGATGTGGACGTCTCTCTCGGTAAGACTGGACCAGACTCTCAGTGAGACTCGGTCTGGACCAGACTCTCAGTAAGACTGGATCTGGACCAGACTCTCAGTGAGACTCGGTCTGGACCAAACTCTCAGTGAGACTCGGTCTGGACCAGACTCTCAGTGAGACTGGGTCTGGACTAGAGTCTCAGTAAGACTGGATCTGGACCAGACTCTCAGTAAGACTGGATCTGGACCAGACTCTCAGTAAGACTGGATCTGGACCAGACTCTCGGTGAGACTGGATCTGGACCAGACTCTCAGTGAGACTCGGTCTGGACCAGACTCTCGGTAAGACTGGATCTGGACCAGACTCTCGGTAAGACTGGATCTGGACCAGACTCTCAGTGAGACTCGGTCTGGACCAGACTCTCAGTGAGACTCGGTCTGGACCAGACTCTCAGTGAGACTCGGTCTGGACCAGACTCTCAGTAAGACTGGATCTGGACCAGACTCTCAATGAGACTCGGTCTGGACCAGACTCTCAGTGAGACTGGGTCTGGACCAGACTCTCAGTGAGACTGGGTCTGGACCAGACTCTCAGTGAGACTGGATCTGGACCAGACTCTCAGTGAGACTGGGTCTGGACCAGACTCTCAGTGAGACTGGATCTGGACCAGACTCTCAGTGAGACTGGGTCTGGACCAGACTCTCAGTGAGACTCGGTCTGGACCAAACTCTCAGTGAGACTCGGTCTGGACCAGACTCTCAGTGAGACTGGGTCTGGACTAGAGTCTCAGTAAGACTGGATCTGGACCAGACTCTCAGTAAGACTGGATCTGGACCAGACTCTCAGTAAGACTGGATCTGGGACTCTCAGTGAGACTCGGTCTGGACCAGACTCTCGGTAAGACTGGATCTGGACCAGACTCTCGGTAAGACTGGATCTGGACCAGACTCTCAGTGAGACTCGGTCTGGACCAGACTCTCAGTGAGACTCGGTCTGGACCAGACTCTCAGTGAGACTCGGTCTGGACCAGACTCTCAGTAAGACTGGATCTGGACCAGACTCTCAATGAGACTCGGTCTGGACCAGACTCTCAGTGAGACTGGGTCTGGACCAGACTCTCAGTGAGACTGGGTCTGGACCAGACTCTCAGTGAGACTGGATCTGGACCAGACTCTCAGTGAGACTGGATCTGGACCAGACTCTCAGTGAGACTGGATCTGGACCAGACTCTCAGTGAGACTGGGTCTGGACCAGACTCTCAGTGAGACTCGGTCTGGACCAGACTCTCAGTGAGACTCGGTCTGGACCAGACTCTCAGTGAGACTCGGTCTGGACCAGACTCTCAGTGAGACTGGATCTGGACCAGACTCTCAGTGAGACTGGATCTGGACCAGACTCTCAGTGAGACTCGGTCTGAGTTTGGAGAATAACTGTGGTTTTAAAGTTAGGTACCCAAGCTTTAATTATGACAAGAGTTCGTCCTGTACTTTTTATATTCCTCATTTGGCAAAAGATCTCATTTTTTATTTAAAACTTTTGAAGAAATACAGTCTCTAAAGAATATAGAATAGTTTATTATTGTTTCTCTTTGAACTATTTGTTTTAAATTGATTGAGTTTCCACAAGAGTGTGTGTGTATTGTGTTTGTGTGTATTGTATAGTCTTGTGTGTCATGACTTCATGGTGTGTTGTGTAACAGGAGGTGTCGAGTGTGAAGTGACGACTTCAGAAGAAAACCAACTGCAGTGTGTTTTAAAATCCACACAAACGACCTACAGCATCAACAACCAAGGCATCCACCAGAGTACGCTAACACTGATGCTAACACTGATGCTAACACTGATGCTAACACTGAGGCTAACACTGAGGCTAACACTGAGGCTAACACTGAGGCTAACACTGAGGCTAACACTGAGGCTAACACTGAGGCTAACACTGAGGCTAACACTGAGGCTAACACTGAGGCTAACACTGAGGCTAACACTGAGGCTAACACTGAGGCTAACACTGAGGCTAACACTGACGCTAACACACTGCAGCTAACACTGAGGCTAACACTGAGGCTAACACTGAGGCTAACACTGAGGCTAACACTGATGCTAACACTGATGCTAACACTGAGGCTAACACTGAGGCTAACACTGAGGCTAACACTGAGGCTAACACTGAGGCTAACACTGAGGCTAACACTGAGGCTAACACTGAGGCTAACACTGAGGCTAACACTGAGGCTAACACTGAGGCTAACACTGAGGCTAACACTGAGGCTAACACTGAGGCTAACACTGAGGCTAACACTGAGGCTAACACTGACGCTAACACTGAGGCTAACACTGACGCTAACACACTGCAGCTAACACTGAGGCTAACACTGAGGCTAACACTGAGGCTAACACACTGCAGCTAACACTGAGGCTAACACTGAGGCTAACACACTGCAGCTAACACTGAGGCTAACACTGAGGCTAACACTGAGGCTAACACTGAGGCTAACACTGACGCTAACACTGAGGCTAACACTGACGCTAACACACTGCAGCTAACACTGAGGCTAACACTGAGGCTAACACTGAGGCTAACACTGAGGCTAACACTGAGGCTAACACTGAGGCTAACACTGAGGCTAACACTGAGGCTAACACTGATGCTAACACTGATGCTAACACTGAGGCTAACACTGAGGCTAACACTGAGGCTAACACTGAGGCTAACACTGAGGCTAACACTGACGCTAACACTGAGGCTAACACTGAGGCTAACACTGAGGCTAACACTGAGGCTAACACTGAGGCTAACACTGATGCTAACACTGAGGCTAACACTGAGGCTAACACTGATGCTAACACTGAGGCTAACACTGAGGCTAACACTGAGGCTAACACTGAGGCTAACACTGACGCTAACACACTGCAGCTAACACTGAGGCTAACACTGAGGCTAACACTGAGGCTAACACTGAGGCTAACACTGAGGCTAACACTGATGCTAACACTGAGGCTAACACTGAGGCTAACACTGAGGCTAACACTGACGCTAACACACTGCAGCTAACACTGAGGCTAACACTGAGGCTAACACACTGCAGCTAACACTGAGGCTAACACTGAGGCTAACACTGAGGCTAACACTGAGGCTAACACTGAGGCTAACACTGAGGCTAACACTGAGGCTAACACTGAGGCTAACACTGATGCTAACACTGATGCTAACACTGAGGCTAACACTGAGGCTAACACTGAAACATCAACAACCAAGGCATCCACCAGAGTACGCTAACACTGAGGCTAACACTGAGGCTAACACTGAGGCTAACACTGAGGCTAACACTGAGGCTAACACTGAGGCTAACACTGATGCTAACACTGATGCTAACACTGATGCTAACACTGAGGCTAACACTGAGGCTAACACACTGCAGCTAACACTGAGGCTAACACTGAGGCTAACACACTGCAGCTAACACTGAGGCTAACACTGAGGCTAACACTGAGGCTAACACTGAGGCTAACACTGAGGCTAACACTGAGGCTAACACTGAGGCTAACACTGAGGCTAACACTGAGGCTAACACTGAGGCTAACACACTGCAGCTAACACTGAGGCTAACACTGAGGCTAACACACTGCAGCTAACACTGAGGCTAACACTGAGGCTAACACTGAGGCTAACACTGAGGCTAACACTGAAACATCAACAACCAAGGCATCCACCAGAGTACGCTAACACTGAGGCTAACACTGAGGCTAACACTGAGGCTAACACTGATGCTAACACTGAGGCTAACACTGAGGCTAACACTGAGGCTAACACTGAGGCTAACACTGAGGCTAACACTGAGGCTAACACTGAGGCTAACACTGAGGCTAACACTGACGCTAACACACTGCAGCTAACACTGAGGCTAACACTGAGGCTAACACTGAGGCTAACACTGAGGCTAACACTGAGGCTAACACTGAGGCTAACACTGACGCTAACACACTGCAGCTAACACTGAGGCTAACACTGACGCTAACACTGATGCTAACACTGAGGCTAACACTGACGCTAACACTGATGCTAACACTGAGGCTAACACTGAAACATCAACAACCAAGGCATCCACCAGAGTACGCTAACACTGAGGCTAACACTGATGCTAACACTGAGGCTAACACTGACGCTAACACTGAGGCTAACACTGATGCTAACACTGAGGCTAACACTGAGGCTAACACTGAGGCTAACACTGAGGCTAACACTGAAACATCAACAACCAAGGCATCATCCACCAGAGTACGCTAACACTGAGGCTAACACTGAGGCTAACACTGAGGCTAACACTGATGCTAACACTGAGGCTAACACTGAGGCTAACACTGAGGCTAACACTGAGGCTAACACTGAGGCTAACACTGAGGCTAACACTGAGGCTAACACTGACGCTAACACACTGCAGCTAACACTGAGGCTAACACTGAGGCTAACACTGAGGCTAACACTGAGGCTAACACTGAGGCTAACACTGAGGCTAACACTGACGCTAACACACTGCAGCTAACACTGAGGCTAACACTGACGCTAACACTGATGCTAACACTGAGGCTAACACTGACGCTAACACTGAGGCTAACACTGAGGCTAACACTGATGCTAACACTGAGGCTAACACTGAAACATCAACAACCAAGGCATCCACCAGAGTACGCTAACACTGAGGCTAACACTGAGGCTAACACTGAGGCTAACACTGATGCTAACACACTGCAGCTAACACTGAGGCTAACACTGACGCTAACACTGATGCTAACACTGAGGCTAACACTGACGCTAACACTGAGGCTAACACTGAGGCTAACACTGATGCTAACACTGAGGCTAACACTGACGCTAACACTGAGGCTAACACTGATGCTAACACTGAGGCTAACACTGAGGCTAACACTGAAACATCAACAACCAAGGCATCCACCAGAGTACGCTAACACTGAGGCTAACACTGAGGCTAACACTGAGGCTAACACTGATGCTAACACTGAGGCTAACACTGAGGCTAACACTGAGGCTAACACTGAGGCTAACACTGAGGCTAACACTGATGCTAACACTGAGGCTAACACTGAGGCTAACACTGATGCTAACACTGAGGCTAACACTGAAACATCAACAACCAAGGCATCCACCAGAGTACGCTAACACTGAGGCTAACACTGAGGCTAACACTGAGGCTAACACTGAGGCTAACACTGATGCTAACACTGAGGCTAACACTGAGGCTAACACTGAGGCTAACACTGAGGCTAACACTGAGGCTAACACTGATGCTAACACTGAGGCTAACACTGAGGCTAACACTGAGGCTAACACTGAGGCTAACACTGATGCTAACACTGATGCTAACACTGAGGCTAACACTGAGGCTAACACTGAGGCTATTACTGAGGCTAACACTGATGCTAACACTGAGGCTAACACTGAGGCTAACACTGAGGCTAACACTGATGCTAACACTGATGCTAACACTGAGGCTAACACTGAGGCTAACACTGAGGCTAACACTGAGGCTAACACTGAGGCTAACACTGAGGCTAACACTGATGCTAACACTGATGCTAACACTGAGGCTAACACTGAGGCTAACACTGAGGCTAACACTGAGGCTAACACTGAGGCTAACACTGACGCTAACACTGATGCTAACACTGAGGCTAACACTGAGGCTAACACTGAGGCTAACACTGAGGCTAACACTGAGGCTAACACTGAGGCTAACACTGAGGCTAACACTGAGGCTAACACTGAAACATCAACAACCAAGGCATCCACCAGAGTACGCTAACACTGAGGCTAACACTGAGGCTAACACTGATGCTAACACTGAGGCTAACACTGAGGCTAACACTGAGGCTAACACTGAGGCTAACACTGATGCTAACACTGAGGCTAACACTGAGGCTAACACTGAGGCTAACACTGAGGCTAACACTGAGGCTAACACTGAGGCTAACACTGATGCTAACACTGAGGCTAAACTGAGGCTAACACTGAGGCTAACACTGATGCTAACACTGATGCTAACACTGAGGCTAACACTGAGGCTAACACTGAGGCTAACACTGAGGCTAACACTGAGGCTAACACTGACGCTAACACTGATGCTAACACTGAGGCTAACACTGATGCTAACACTGAAACATCAACAACCAAGGCATCCACCAGAGTACGCTAACACTGAGGCTAACACTGAGGCTAACACTGAGGCTAACACTGAGGCTAACACTGAGGCTAACACTGATGCTAACACTGAGGCTAACACTGATGCAAACACACTGAAGCTAACACATGACACCCCCTCTGGGAGGCTAGCAATGTGCGGTAGCCTTGACAAGAAGTCGGCCACGATATTGTCTTTCACAGCCCGATGGCGAATTTGAAACTGGAATGGTTGGAGGGACAAATACCAGCGCGTCAGACGGCTGTTCTGATCTCTCATAGTGTTAATCCAAGTTAGTGCTCGGTGGTCCGTCTCTAAATCAAATTCTCTACCTAAGAGATAGTACCGTAAACTGTCCAATGCCCACTTTATTGCCAGGCCCTCTTTTTCTACGGTGGAATAGCGAGTCTCTCTCGGCAACAGTTTGCGGCTCAAATATAGGACTGGCTGCTCCTCCCCAGGGTCTCCTTGCGCGAGAACCGCTCCAAGGCCCACAGCCGAAGTGTCCACTTGGAGCAGAAACCGTTTGGTGAAGTCAGGGCTTTTCAAAACTGGTGAAGAACAGAGACTAGCCTTTAGTGTCTTTAAAGCAGTCTCACAGGCATCGGTCC